ATAGTGTATTTAAAATTGCTGCATTGTATTTTTTTTTTGATGGGTGAAAATGGTATGGTAACTCCGCCTGCGCTAATGGGATACGCCGGCGGAGCACCAGTGAAGGGTGATAGATGAGAATGAAAACAGGCCAGTTAGCCTATTAAAAAAAAAGTAGGGGACAAATAATGACTGAAATGATGATGATGATTGCAGAAATATTAAATGAGTAGTAATAAATTGAAACATTCAAACCATTAATTAATTTTTAACAACAATAAAAAGAGAAAAAAAAAACAATTAATTTTGCTGGTTGCTGGAGCCGCCTTAGCTGTTGCTATATATGTACAACTCCAGCGAGATGTATCTATATAGTGCTGATTTTCAGGCGGCCCATTAATTCATTTAACTTTAGCTTTCGTGCGGATATATACATATATATATATATATATATATATAATATATCAGAAAAGACGAAGAAAGAATACCACGCCTCATGTTATGTTACTATGGCCGTTACTATATTGTCCATGGTGCCGTTCATTTCCATAGAGGACAGATACAACCTTTTAACAGGTGGGTTGTAAAGTTAATAATAAAAACATTTTATACTTACAACTTTTCGACCGACTTAAGAAAAGGAGGTCCTACTCAGTTCAGTTCGGTTCTATTTTCTTTATATATTTGTTTGCCACTTCATAACTCCATCATTTATAGCCGATTTGAAAAGTTCTTCTTTGGAAACGGTATACCTTTATATTTGCCCCGTAGAAATTGTATCGGTTCAGTGGTTTAATTTGGGGTGAAAGGGATTGTCAGTAATGGGGTCTAATGAACCCATTGCCAACAATACACCCTATCAGGTCGACCTCCACGAGGTTTCCCCTGAAAACCATCGTGGTTAATTCAAATGGAATTCTTTATGATGGGCCAACTGACCTGCTCCATCATCACTTTTCACCACTAAGCTGGTGCCCCGTCAGCGTATACCGATAGAGCAGGCGGGGCAACTATTCCATTATCACCCATAAATAAAAAAAAGGTTTAATTTTTTAATCCAAATAACTGCTTCTACCACAATTGAAGTTGTTCCTTTTGTGTAACAAACTTAATCATAAGATGAATTCGGGCCAGCAGATTTGACTACATCCTCAACTATTCCATCAGCGTATACCAGTTGGACATGCGTACTGGCCATACTGTTTTCATTTCATTAAAAAAAAAATCTCTTCTAGTAATTTCATCAATCGCTCGTTTGCGGCCGCCTTTATCCTGAATCTGTCCTTATTGGTGACAATTAACATGGTACAAGGCGGTTCAATCAAACTAAACGATCAGTACTCGACAGTATTGGCGGACAGACACACGAACCGTTATTTGCTATACATATATTTATAAATAAACTCGTTCAGACAGTATCGAAAAAGGAAAAAGTGGTAAGTTTCATATAGTAGAATGGAATTAAGACTATTTTGTTCCATATAAATCTACTTTTTCATGCAACTTAGAATGGCAAACAAGCATACGGCCGACCTGATGATAAAATGGTAACCATTACCTAAATAACCAACATTATAGACTCATTAGTGTGATGGTGAGGGTGGTAGCTTCACGATTACCATTGGGGAAAAAGGCATTGTTAGCAATGGGATGTAACAATCTTATTGCTAGCAATATCAGATCGATCTCCACGCGGTTCCCCCTGGAAACCATAGTGGTTAATTCTTAAATTCCTCACGATGGGTTTTTCGCTTGCTTTCACCTGCTTTTGGTGGGGCACCAATGAGGATCAATACCATTCCATTTCAACCATAAAAAAGGGCACAAGTATCCATCGTGACGAATTCAACGATAAATTAGTCACGATAGTTTTCAGGGGGAACCGCGTGGAGGTCGATCTGATAGGGTATATTGATTGCAATGCTTAGATAATATAGATGAGGATCGAGTCTCAAAAATGGGTCAACTTTTTGTCAGCTAATTGTCAAATTAGCTGACTCGTTTTTTATCAGTCTTCTATATACTTACGCACACAATGTATCTTGACGTATCTATATTTAATTATATAATAAATAAAATGAAGTTTTACATATTGAAAAGATGTAAAAATTATAAAACAAAATAAATATAGAAGTTATAAAGGGAACATTCATAACTATTTATCACGCAAAATTGTAAGAAAAAATTAAGTCGCTTTTCTCGAAGCACTTATATGGAGAAACTCTATCTATATAATCTAAGCATCAATGTTTACTTACATACATACATATCTGTCACGCCTGTCTCCCATTAGGGTAGGTAGACACAATGGAACGCCAAATGCTTCGATTCAAACAAACCTCTTTCGCTTCTTCCACATTCATCAATCTTGTCATACACGCTCGCCGGTTACGAGTACTTTTAATTTGGCCCTTCTTCAGCACGTCGCCTATTTGGTTGACATACGTCCGTCTAGGACAGCCCCTGCCGACATCTCCATTCATTCTTGCTCGATAAATATCTTTCGTAATTCTTCTTTCATACATCCTCTCCAAATGGCCAAACCAACGCAACATCAGTATTTATTTTCCATGAAATCGGTATAATTGCTTAAAAAACACCTGCACCGCGATTTTATTTTTGTTTTCCCTTCACTTCAGGTGTCCCGTCGCCTGTATCGAGTCGGGCCACCTAGTTCCACTAAGTGTACTAAAGCCAAGAAATAAAAATATCCACGTAATCTATTACCAAACAATTCTTTGCGCCTTTTTATTTACACTCATTTGCGTCATTCCAGTTTGAGCCGGTTATCGCTGGAAAACACCGGTATTAAAGAATTAATGTTTTATTATTAACTTTGTATGACAATTCTTTTTTTTTTTCACTATTTACTTTTCCTAGTTCAGAAACAATTTTCATTGCTTTTTAATATATACGGAAAGAAATTAAAATACTTAAACGTGTATATTTAATTTTTTTTTTATACAACTTAGAATGGCAAACAAGCTAACGGTCCACCTGATGGAAAGTGGTAACCGTCGCCTATAGACATGAGCCTGAGCGTGAGTACCATGGACATAACAGAGTATACTGTTTCGCCCATGATACCCCCCATGCGTTGCCATTCCTTAGAACTCAGGTGTTATTCCTCCGTACCCAGTAAATTCATGCCATGTCCCACCCTTCAAACCGAAACACAGCCATGCAAACACAACTGCTTCACGGTAGAAACACGAATAGGACAGAGATACCCAAGTAATCGACTTTTGTACAGTCTCCCTCTGGTAAAATAAAATAAAAATAAAAAAATAATATAAAACAAACTGTCATATAAAAAAATCGCGTTTTTAAAATCGTGTTCAAGAGAATATTATCTATGACTAAGTATGTAAATTTACAATTTATTACAGTACATTTATATTACATATTGTTGTTATATAAAATTATTTTAACAATATATGACTGTCTATATTTGTATTAACTTTACGCAGTCTTAACTAATTTGCATGTATTATCTTATAGTGAATATCTTTGTACATAATAGTCATATATATATATATATATAAATCTTTTTTTCTCTTTTTTTTTGTTAACTCCTATTTTTGTTTCTTTGTGTATATATATATATATATATATATGTATATATATATACAGTGTATATATATATATATAAATATATATATATATATATATATATATATATATATATATATATATATATATATATATATATATATATATATATATATATATATATATATATTGTAATTGTGTATATGTCACACTCATAAAGTTGTAAACCGATTTGGATAATTCTTTTTTTATCTGAAAGGATATACTTACAGGTTGCTTCTGTAAAAATTTTATCAAAATCAGTTCAGTAATTTTTAGATCAAAATAACTAGTGTTGCCACAATTAACGTTAGTTTTTTTTTTGGTGCACGATTTTTTTTTTATTATTTGTAGATGATAATGGAATACACTAACGGGGCACCAGTGAGGGATGAAAGCAGGTTAGTTGATCCATTGTGACGAATTTACTAGGAATTAACCACGATTGTATCTAAGGGGTACTGGGGGTTTGGGCAGCTAGGATCCATTGCCAACCATCTCCCCCCTTTCCAATTTTTTTTTAATGGATGATAATAGAATAGTATATACCCGCGCTATCGGTATACACCGGCGGGGCACCAGTGAAGGATGATAGGTGAGGATGAAGTAGGTCAGTTAGCCCATCGTGACGAATGCAATAAGAATTGTTCATGATGGTTTCCAGGGGGTACCACGTGGAGGTCGACCTAATAAGGTATATTGCTAGCAATGGGGCTGTCAAACTCCATTGCTAACAATCCTTCCCCCCCCCCCTTTCGAATTAATAATATTATTGACAGTAATGTTGAAACGTCGTGCTCGTAGGTACATCCTACTAACTAGTTTTGTCACATCTGAAGTCGGTTTTTTTTGTGGCGCACATTTTTTTAAATTGTACTCATAATATTAGATATTTACCGCAATTTTAACAAATCCGTTTTACCGTGTGATTAACAAGTAAAGATGCAGGAGACCGTAAGCCCATCGTGACGAAATCACTAAGATTTAACCACGATAGTTTCCAAAGGAAACCGCGTGGAGGCCGACCTGACATTTAACTGTCAATAGGTCCGTTAAATTTAATCAGGAACGACACCCCAACAACGAGGGGAAAGGTATTGGTAATAATGAGATTTAGCAACCCCATTGCTAGCAATATACCCTATCAGGTCAACCTCCACGCGGGTCCCCCTGGAAACCACAGTGGTTAAATCTAGTTCAATTCATCACTACGGGCCAACTGACCTGTCTTCATCCTCACCTGTCACCCTTCACTGGTGCCCTGCCAGCGTATACCGATAGCGCAGACGGGACTACCATTTTATCATTCACCCATAAAAAAAAAAACACCCCAACAACCGAAAGCGGGATTGGACGGTCTCAGAGCTGTAGATTCAGTTATAGACACTTATCTGAATGGGGCAATTGAGTTAAATATACAGCTTATATAAATATATAAATATAAATATATAACGCCTGTATTACATAAAAGTATACTACATTTTACAATGTGATCAGTGTGTGATAAACTTTCCTAGTGATAACACTGTCTCCGTATTAATACAATTGTTTTATTTGATATTGTCAACTCTATATACTAGTGAAAAGGTAAATATTTTTTTTTATACCACTGAGGTGGCAAACAAGCATACGGCCCACCTGATGGTAAGTGGTTACTGTAGTCTATGAACACCTGCAATACCAGAGGTATTACGCGTGCGTTGCCGACCCTGAAGAAACCTCTTTACCCCTCTTTTGAAGAACCCCATGCTGTAGTCTCTTGGGAAAACCTTGGCAGGGAGCTCATTCCACAACCTATTGTTAATTTATATTAAACATTTATTATTATTTAAATAATTAAAAAAAACTGCCTGCAACAAAGTGGTAACTGTCGCCTATAGACATGTACAACACAAACAAATTTAAATACACTATTGGGATTTAATGCGATCAAAAATTTTTGCAGGTAAATACATAGTACCGGGGGGAAAGGGATTGTTAGTAGTGGAGACTGAGAATCCCATTGCTAGCAATATACCCAACCAGGTCGACCTCCTCGCGGTTCCCCCTGGAAACTATCATGGTTAATTCCTGATGGATTCATCATGATGGGCTAACTGGCCTGTTTTCATTCTCATCTATCACCCTTCACTGGTGCTCCGCCAGCGTATCCCGTTAGCGCAGGCCGTTACCATTCCATTTTCACCCATCAAAAAAAAAACCATCGCCTATGACATGAACAAAACAAATAAATCCCCATAGTAATGTTTAGTTATGCTCTAGTTATCAGGAAGTTAGTTTTGATAACTAGAGGGTTTTTAATGGGTGATAGTGGTATGGTAACCCCGCCTGCTCTATCAGTATACGCTGGCGGGGAACCAGTGAGGGTTGATAGGTGAGGATGAAAGCAGGTCAGGTACGCCATCATGACGATTTTCACAAGAATTAACCACAATAGTTTGAACTGAGGGAGACTTTATACAAAAGTCATATACGTAGGTTAGGTTAGATAGGTTAGGTTCTGTCCTTTTCGAATTTCGGCCGTAAAGCAGTTGCGTTTTCATGGCTGTGTTTTGGTTTGGATGATGAGATATGCCAATGAAATTAAAGGGTACAATGGCATAATACCTTAGTCCTCAGAAATAGCAACGTATTAGGGATATTATGGGCACAGTATGTTTTGTAATGTCCATGGTACTGCTCATGTCTATAGGCGACGGTTACCACTTTCCATCAGGTGAACCGTTAGCTTGTTTGCAATTCTAGGTTGTATAAAAAAAAGTTGTAGAAAAAAACCTAAACGATGTAGTCTAAACAAGTAACAAACAAACTGTGTATAATTATTCCTCTCCATCCAAAGATTGCCTGAAAGAGATCACTTTTTTTTTTTTAATACTATTTTAAGGGCTTTTACCTTTTTCAGGTATATCAGTCCTATTGTACCCTGAACTGATTTCTCAAACAAAACTTTATGTACTTTCCCTAGACGCGGAAAAAGAAGAATTAATGGGCATTAATAATTTACAGAGATGTTAAAAAATTTCTGGTTTAAGTTCAGCTAACATAGATTGAATAAGACCAACATTCAATTTCACTTGTAGCGATAAAACCGCCTTGTTTTCTCAGTACGATCATTTCTTTGTTTAATGATAAGTTTACTATTGTAATCTTTTGGAGGATACAATAAAGAATATCTAAATATATATAAAAATATCTCTTTTAAATATTCACTTTATCTGATTTACATTTATTATACTTATATTTTACATTTATTATTTTATTATACTTATATTATAATTATATATCGTCGTGTGTGCCCCGACATAGAATAGGCCATATACACAGAACATATACACTATTATCTGCTTTACATTTATTATACTTATATTTTACATTTATTATTTTATTATAATCATATTATAATTATATATCGTCGTGTGTGCCCCGACATAGAATAGGCCACCCCTTCCTTTCTCATGGATGTCGTAAAAGGCGACTAAGGGAGAGCGAGGGATGGGCAGCAGCGTCCCTCTTAAAACATCTCTAAAAGCCTAACTGCGGTTGCCAACCTGCCTGCCTAGTGTGGCAACTACTGGCAAAACTCCCCTTATGAAGAAGGCTTATGTTCAGCAGTGGACAGTTAAATGGTGAAATAATAGGAAAAAATAGTTATATTGTTATACATACATACCCCACTGTTACAAACTCCTTTGCAATTTGTGTTTCAAATATTGTATTCTTTTAATCACTCATTTTTTTATATAAACTGGCAGTATAACTTTTCAACTCGAACCGGCGTTTTCTTTCTTACAATCAGTTCACAATATTATTGGTCCTTCGAGCCGGATCAATAATATTTCAGTTTCTATAAAAAAATGAGCAATTAAAAGAATACAATATTTGAAACACAAATTACAAAGGAGTTTGTAACATCCACTATAGTGGATGTTACAAACTGGTGGTATACCGATGTGATTTCTGGGACTACAGCAAATACGAGTATTTTTTTTTTCTTCTTGCAGATAAAATCCTTCGTTAAAGTTTGCGGTAAACGTAATCACGTCCCGAAAAGTGTCTTACAAGGCAAAAAAGGACTTGGAGAATGGAATCACATGAGAAAAACGAAAAGGTTACTGGACCGGTTTTCAATGGCCTGAGTAATGTGGACTCGAAGCACCAGGATGGGAGTGGTGAAGGTAAAAGTACTGGTATATATTTTACTGAGATAGATGTTTTTTTTTAATGGGTGATAATAGAATGGTATCCCCACCCGCGCTCTCGGTATACACCGGCGGAGCACCAGTGAAGAATGATAGATGAGGATGAAGCAGGTCAGTTAGCCCATCGTGACGAATTCAACAAGAATTGTTCACGATGGTTTCCAGGGGAACCACGTGGAGGTCGACCTAATAGCGCATATTGCTAGCAATGGGGCTGTCAAACTCCATTGCTAACAATCCCTTTCCCCCCTGAGTTAGATGTTAGGAAGTCTCAAAATGTTTATTGCCCTTCCGTTCTTATAAGTATGTGTTAACCATGAACATTTGGACGCGCAATTGTGGTCTGTACTATTATTAGTTGATGCTTTATGACCCTCCCAATTAGCCATCAATCTCTGATCACAATTACGTTTTCAATGTGACACATGTTTCGCCTCTAAACAAGGCATCTTCAGACAATTAATGGTTCGGATAGAAAATCTATCAAGTTCAGTTACAAATAAGATTTGTAACTTTGGAAAATTTTCACTTTACAAATGTAAACTGGCATACTAGTTGTTACTAGAAGAAGACTGTGTATAGACTAATCTGCTGGGATAATCTCTATTTTTAAACGATTTCAAAAATAGGTTCCCGATTCGGTTGTACTTTTTCTTTATTTAACGTCAGTTCTGAACCGATTCAGAAAATTTTTTTTTACATGAAAGGATATACTTATAGATTGGTCCCACAGAAATATTATCAAAATTTATTCAATAGTTTTTAGATCAAAATAATTAGTTTTGTTATAACTAAAGTCGGTTTTTGTTAGTGGGACACGATTTTTAATTATTAAATGGTGTAATCAGAATTTCGGTAATGTTTTTCAAAATTTCGTGGACTAACGAAACATAAATGTGATAAAAATTACATGATATATACTGTTTAAAAATATTAAAATATCGTCCCTTGGATTATTATGGTAGAATTTATGACAAACGAAATGTTAAGCTCCATTTACTGGGTCGATTTCGGAATGAGTGAAAATAAGAAATTGAAACTGAAAATATGTAACTACAGTCCATGGTAGACCCCCTGGTCATATTGGAATGACAATACTGATTCCTGTAACTGCGACGCTACCTTGATATAAAAATGGATGCAGAATGAAAAGTTTAGTAGAAGTTTAGAAAAATAAGAATAGGTATTTACGACTTTGTCCTAAACTACATTCATCACTCAGGTTTTGCCTAAGTGTCGTTTTATTTACAAATTTAGCTCTATTATATGTTGCTATTGAAAAACCTTAATATTTCAGCAAATGGCGCATCCAAAATGCTAGCGTTGAAGGATTTGGATGATCTGTTCCCCTATATCGGGGGCTTCGGGTGGTACCAGCGTCTGCTATTCCTCCTCATGATACCCTATTCGTTCTTCTTCGCCTTTGTGTACTTTGCGCAAATATTTATGACGGTGGTGCCTTCCGAACATTGGTGCTATGTGCCGGAGTTGGGAAATATGACAATAGCAGATCGGTAAATACTTGTCAGTTGTCTATTTTTTTTGGTAACTTAGAATGACAAACAAGCTGATGGTCCACTTGATAGAAAGTAGTAACCGACGCCTATAGACATGAGCAGTACCATGAACATAACAGAGTATTGTTTCGCCCATGAAACCCCCATGCGTTGCCATTCCTGAGGACTCAATTGTTATTCCTCTGTACCCTGTAAATTCACTGCCATATCCCACCCTTCAAACTGAAACACAGCCATGCAAACACAACTGGTTCACGGTTGAAACACCAATAAGACAGAGGTGTCCAAGCAAACGACTTTTGTACAAAGTCTCCATCTCTCATTGTAGTAATTTCTGAAATTTTTTTATCAGCGATTATACGCCATAATTTTTAATTTAAAATAAGTATATTTAAATATGGCGTTGGCTTTTATTTTATCATGTTGAAAATGTTCACAAAAATATCCCATCTGAGAAAGAGAAGGCAGTATGGGGTATATAGGAACCTTACATACTAAAAGATTTTACCGACTGGCTGAGCACCTACCACTTGCAACTTGCAATGGTCAATCTGGAAATCCCTTAATAAACTGCTGGTGCAACCTGGTGAAATGAGGTGTTCATGTCTCTCCTCCTGTTCTGTCCTTTATGTTCTTAATCCTGCATAAAGAAGGACCTGAATAAGACAACCAACACTACGATCAATTTCATTGTTCCAAAATCATCTATATTTTTATTTTATGTTCCAGACGCCATCTTTCTATTCCCATAACTGAGAATGGTTACGAAAAGTGCTTTGTCTATGACGTAGATTGGAAGAAAGTTCTAAAATATGGCATCACTGAACCAGACGCCACGTGGCCAGTGAAGAAGTGCGACAATCATTGGGAATACAACTTCACTGACGTACCATACGAGACTATAGCCACGCAGGTACAAACCTTATCAAGTTTTGTAAAGTCATTTTCTCAGATACGAAATGAAACACTGCCAAGCGCGACAACTATTGGAGAAACCTCCCGAGGGAGAGATCTATATTCAGCAGTGTACAGTTAATGGCTGATTTGATGATGATGATGAAACGAGACACAATGTGATCTATTGTTAGGGTTCCATTCAAAAAAAAAAGGAAAAGAAACCCGTAAATTTCGAATACACTCTTCGGAAACTAAACTACGAAATCGGGAAAGAGGCTATTAGTTATGTGAACTATTATTAGATAGACCTCCATGCAGTCTCCCCTGGAAACCATCGTTATTAACTGGTGATGACATCGCGACGGACCAACTAACTTGACTTCATCCTCACCTATCATCCTTCACTAATAATTTCTCCAGCATGTGTAAGCAGTTGGTTTGCGCGGATTCTGGCTCACTCGGCGGCGGACTCCCAAAAAGATCCTCAATCCAAAAGGCCTCCCTCATTTGACAAAATTCGTTCCTAGTTGGTTTAGTTAATCTTCAACTTTTATATGAGCATCATGTTGCGGCTTAGGGGTGGCCTTTGGCCATCCCAGCTGAACCTTAACCTACTGTCACTATGTGTGGGTACTTCATAAGACTCGTTTGCATCTTGCAGATGTTTTCAGATGGTGTTATGCATTAAATATGCTTAAAACCACTTTATCTCTAAAAAACAAAAAAAAAAAAAAACAAAAAATGGCATCCAATATTTATAAAAAAAGAACGCGACGTTACAGAGATTTTTTTCTACCCGAATCGTTGAAATTTCTAACGACTAATATCACCACAAAAAAAGGGATATGTCAATAAGGAATGTTAATTTTCACATAAAAATAAAAACCGACCATATTCGTGTTTTAACCTGTTCGTCCAGCCGACTCGATAAAAGCCGTTTCACCATCTTTTCTACCTGAATCGTTGGAATTTCTAACGATTAATATAGTCTAGTGTCTGAATGTCTGAGTGTCTAGTGTCTGAGTGTCTAGTGTCCGAGTGTCTAGTGTCCGAGTGTCCGAGTGTCTAGTGTCAGAGTATCTGGTGTCCGAGTGTCTAGCGTCCGAGTGTCTAGTGTCTGAGTGTCTAGTGTCAGAGGGTCTAGTGTCTAGTGTCTGAGTGTCTAGTCTCTGAGTGTCTGAGTGTCTAGTGTCCGAGTGTCTACTGTCCGAGTATCTAGTGTCTGAGTGTCTAGTGTCCAGTGTCCAGTGTCCAGTGTCCAGTGTCCAGTGTCCAGTGTCCAGTGTCCAGTGTCCAGTGTCCAGTGTCCAGTGTCCAGTGTCCAGTGTCCAGTGTCCAGTGTCCAGTGTCCAGTGTCCAGTGTCCAGTGTCCAGTGTCCAGTGTCCAGTGTCCAGTGTCCAGTGTCCAGTGTCCAGTGTCCAGTGTCCAGTGTCCAGTGTCCAGTGTCCAGTGTCCAGTGTCCAGTGTCCAGTGTCCAGTGTCCAGTGTCCAGTGTCCAGTGTCCAGTGTCCAGTGTCCAGTGTCCAGTGTCCAGTGTCCAGTGTCCAGTGTCCAGTGTCCAGTGTCCAGTGTCCAGTGTCCAGTGTCCAGTGTCCAGTGTCCAGTGTCCAGTGTCCAGTGTCCAGTGTCCAGTGTCCAGTGTCCAGTGTCCAGTGTCCAGTGTCCAGTGTCCAGTGTCCAGTGTCCAGTGTCCAGTGTCCAGTGTCCAGTGTCCAGTGTCCAGTGTCCAGTGTCCAGTGTCCAGTGTCCAGTGTCCAGTGTCCAGTGTCCAGTGTCCAGTGTCCAGTGTCCAGTGTCCAGTGTCTAGTGTCCAGTGTCCAGTGTCCAGTGTCCAGTGTAGACACTGCACAAGGGAATTTCTGTAAGTCATCTTTTCCACCATTGCGCAGGGAGGATGACTCGTTGGCCCAGAACGCTAAGGAAAAGGCCGATCTTCTTGGATCCATCTTTGCGTCAAACTCGACATTGGATGACGGGGAGAAATCACCACCGACCATCACGTGTTGTAGGAGCTCTATGCCTGACATTAAATTCACGCATAGCTCAGTGCGTAGAGCACTTTTCTCCCTCGAAATCCATAAGTCGAGTGGGCCCGATGGTATTCCTCCAATTGTGCTTAGGACGTGCGCACCAGAGTTGGCTCCGGTTCTTACGCGTCTTTTTCGGCTTAGCTACTCATCGGGCATAGTCCCAAAGTTTTGGAAGACTGCTCTGGTGCATCCGATCCCTAAAAAGGGAGATCGCTCAGATCCAGCTAACTATAGGCCCATAGCTATCACTTCCTTATTCTCGAAGGTTATGGAATCCATCATTAACCGTCAACTGCTCCGGTACCTAGGAGCACCGGCTGATCTGTGATCGCCAGTACGGCTTTCGACAGGGACGTTCGGCCGGTGATCTTTTAGCTTACTTAACACACCGATGGGCAGTGGCAATCGAGAGTAAGGGAGAGGCCTTAGCAGTTAGTCTGGATATCGCGAAGGCCTTTGATCGGGTGTGGCATAGAGCGCTGCTTTCAAAGCTACCTTCATTTGGGTTGCCTGCGAGACTGTGCATTTGGGTCGCCAGTTTTCTCAAGGAACGTAGCATTAAGGTCGTAGTCGACGGAGCATGCTCTGATTTAAAACCTTTGAATGCTGGTGTCCCGCAAGGCTGTGTACTATCTCCGACTCTGTTTCTTCTGCATATCAATGATATGTTACAGATAAGTAATATTCATTGCTATGCAGACGACAGTACAGGAGATACATTATATACCGGTCATGCAAAGATCTCGCGGGCACATACCGATGAGTGCCGGAATAGACTTGTGTCTGAAATCGAAACTTCACTCCATCAAGTTTCGATCTGGGGTGAACAAAATCTTGTCCAATTTAACCCCAAAAAGACACAAGTCTGCGCGTTTACCGCAAAAAAGACGCCGTTTGTCGTATCTCCTCACTTTCAGGGCACTTCCCTTGATAAAAAGTCGAGTCTAGGAATTCTGGGCGTTGATATATCTTGCGACGTCCAGTTTTGCGGTCATCTGGAGGAGAAGGCTAAGATAGCTTCCAAAAAGTTAGGAGTGCTCAATAGGGTGAGACGATATTTCATGCCAGAACACCGCCTGAAATTATATAAAGCCCAAGTCAGGCCGCATATGGAATACTGTTCTCACCTGTGGGCAGGAGCGCCACAGTACCAACTCCTTCCGTTAGACCGCATTCAGAGTCGGGCGACTCGAATTATCGATAGTCAACGCCTTACTGTCCGACTTGATCCACTGAAACTGCGCAGAGATGTTGCATCTCTGTGCATCTTCTACCGAATTTATCATGGGGAGTGTTCTGAGGAATTGTTCGGATTGATACCTGCTGCTGATTTTCACCACCGTACAACCCGCCACAAACTAAAGTTTCATCCCAATCATCTGGACGAGTGGCGGTCTTCCACCGTGCGTTTTTCAAGGCACTTTCTTCCACGCACAACCATTCTTTGGAATCAACTTCCAGCAGCAGTATTTCCGAACCGATACGACAACATAACCTTCAAGAAAAGAGTATATTCCTTTTTAAAAGGCCGGCAGCACACCTGCAATGCCGCTGGTGTTGTGGGTGATCATGGGCGGCGGTAGTCACTTACCATCAGGTGAGCCGCATGCTCGTTTGCCCCCTGTGTTGTAAAAAAAAAAAAAAAAAAAAAAAAAAGATACTCGGGCACTAGACACTCAGATACTAGACACTCGGACACTCAGATACTCAGACACTAGACACTAGACACTCAGACACTAGACACTCAGACACTAGACACTCAGACACTAGACACTCAGACACTAGACCCTCTGACACTAGACACTCAGACACTAGACACTCGAACATCAGATACTCTGACACTATACACTCGGACACTCGGACACTAGACACTAGACACTAGGCCACTAGACACTCGGACACTAGACACTAGACACTAGACACTCAGACACTAGACACAGACACTCAGACAGACACTAGACACTCAGACACTAGACACTCGGACCACTAGACACTAGACATTCAGACACTAGACACTCAGACACTAGACACTCGGACACTAGACACTCGGACACCAGACATTCAGACCTAGACACTAGACACTAGACACTCAGACACTCAAACACTCAGACACTAGACCCTCTGACACTAGACACTCAGACACTAGACACTCAGACACTAGACACTCGGACGCTAGACACTCGGACACCAGATACTCTGACACTAGACACTCGGACACTCGGACACTAGACACTAGACACTCAGACACTCAGACACTCAGACATTCAGACACTAGACACTCAGACACTAGACACTAGACACTCAGACACTAGACACTCAGACACTAGACAATCAGACACTAGACACTCAGACACTAGACACTCAGACACTAGACACTCGGACGCTAGACACTCGGACACCAGATACTCTGACACTAGACACTCGGACACTCGGACACTAGACACTAGACACTCGGACACTAGACACTCAGACACTCAGACACTCAGACATTCAGACACTAGACACTCAGACACTAGACACTAGACACTCAGACACTAGACACTCAGACACTAGACAATCAGATACTAGACACTCAGACACTAGACACTAGACACTCAGACACTCGGAAACTAGACACTCTGGCACTAGATACTCGGACACTAGACACTCAGATACTAGACACTCGGACACTAGACACTCAGATACTCAGACACTCAGACACTCAGACACTCAGACACTAGACACTAGACACTCAGACACTAGACACTCAGACACTAGACACTCAGACACTAGACACTCAGACACTAGACACTCAGACCTAGACACTAGACACTCAGACACTCAAACACTCAGACCTAGACACTAGACACTCAGACACTCAAACACTCAGACACTAGACCCTCTGACACTAGACACTCAGACACTAGACACTCGGACACTAGACACTCGGACACCAGATACTCTGACACTAGACACTCGGACACTCGGACACTAGACACTAGACACTCAGACACTCAGACACTCAGACACTCAGACACTCAGACACTAGACACAAGACACTAGACACTAGACACTCAGACACTAGACACTCAGACACAAGACACTCAGACACTTAGACACTAGACACTAGACACTCAGACACTAGACACTCAGACACTCAGACACTCGGACATTAGACACTCGGACACTGGACACTCAGACACTAGACACCTATATTAGTCGTTAGAAATTCCAACGAGTAGAAAAGATGGTGAAACGGATTTTGTAGAGTCGGCTGGACGAACAAGTTAGAACACGAATATGGTCGGTTTTTATTTTTATGTGAAAATTAACATTCCTTATTGACATATCCCTTTTTTTTGTGGTGATATTAGTCGTTAGAAATTTCAACGATTCGGGTAGAAAAAAAATCTCTGTAACGTCGCGTTCTTTTTTATAAATATTGGATACCATTTTTTGTTTTTTTTTTGTTTTTTAGAGATAAAGTGGTTTTAAGCATATTTAATGCATAACACCATCTGAAAACATCTGCAAGATGCAAACGAGTCTTATGAAGTACCCACACATAGTGACAGTAGGTTAAGGTTCAGCTGGGATGGCCAAAGGCCACCCCTAAGCCGCAACATGATGCACATATAAAAGTTGAAGATTAACTGAACCAACTAGGAACGAGTCTTGTCGAATAAGCTTTTTTTTGGGAGCCAGCCGTCGAGTGAGCCAGAATCCGTCCAAACCTACTACTACCCGTATTCCAATACAATCCGCCTTCAATTGGAACGAATCTTGTCGAATGAGCTTTTTTCGGGAGGCAGCCGCCGAGTGAGCCAGAATCCACGCAAATCAACTACTTGTGTATACCAAGAAATTCCCGCCTGAGTTATCATTCTATGCATAAAAAAATATTTATTCAGTTATTTTGATCATTGTCCTCAGTTGGATTGGGTGTGTGACAGAGACAACTACGCAGCGACCACTCAGTCTGTCTTCTTCTGTGGTTCTATAGTAGGAGGACTGATATTCGGATGGATTGCGGACAAATATGGGAGAGTTCCCGCGCTTTTAGGTAAGAAAAGTGTATCATAAAGGTTAATGATAAAGGAACAATCGTAATGAAAGTGGGGAAGAAGATAAGCTTCATCCCCATATTTCAGAGCTTAGATGGCCATGTACAGCACAGTTTTAGAGATTTCCTCCTACGAACGCTTAGGTTATGCAGTGAGCTATTTGAGGATTTTCCAAAAGACAATAGCATGAGGTTCTTAAAAAAATGGGTAGAGAGGATTCTTTAGGGTAAGCAACGCTCGCGTAATGCTCCTAATATTGCGGTCGTACATAGGCTACGGTAATCAAGCGACTTACACTTGACTCATACGAAATTCAGTCAAAAATTATAAACAACTGCATAATCTTATTAAATGACTTAGGTAGCAAAAATAATATTACATTAAGATAGATCCTTGGTTATGGTCATATTCATGGAAATGAAATGGGGGGGGGGGGAGGACTTTAACAGTAGTCACCACGCTTACTGTCCACTGTACTGCTCATGTCTATAGGCGACGGTTACCACTTTCGATCAGGTGGGCCGTCAGCTTGTTTGCCATTCTAAGTTGTATAAAAAAAAATATGAACCAACTGACCTTGTACCATAATCGATCTCTATCATATTTCACTTCCACGCCAATTTTATGTATTAAAAAATCCTTAAACGCATTACTTCCAGGCACAAACCTGGTTGGTTTCGTAGCTGGAGTGGGCACTGCTTTCACCTACAGCTTCTGGTCGTTCTGCGTTTGCCGGTTCCTGGTTGGCATGGCTTACGACAACTGTTTCGTTGTCATGTATATTATTGGTACGTTACTCTTACTTCATATCATCGTTATCGTATCAGCTTTTAACTGTCCACAATATAAGCCTCCCCCTAGCGGAGTTTTGCCAGTAGGTGCCACTCTTTGCAGGCGGATTGGCAACCGCAGTTAGGCTTTGGAGATGTTTTAAAAGGGACGCTGCTGCCCATCCCTAGCCTTCACTTATTCGCCTCTTACGACACCCACGGGAAAAGAAGGGACCACACGGCAAATTTATTATAGGAACAAAAAGTTAAATTGAATTTAATATTTATAATTTTTATGACTATTGATAACGCCGCACAAAACCATGCTTTCTTCAGTGTTGCCTTAAACGTACTCAATTTTTAACATTACATTCCAGTTTTAGAGTATGTCGGCCCAAAATGGCGGACTTTCGTGGCCAACATGTCGATAGCTGTATACTTCACGTTCGCCGCCTGTCTCCTGCCCTGGATAGCTCTAGGAGTGTCCAATTGGAGGGTCTACACGTTGATCACGAGCGTGCCGATAGGATTGTCCATATTAACACCTTGGATAGTTCCCGAGAGTGCTAGGTAAGTTGAGTTATTTTCGATACTACATAATATTTGGAAGCAAAACTAATCCATATATTGGCATATATTCGTAAAACATGTCCAATTAACGTTTCTTATATAATAGTATTTATATTATTAATTTTATAAATGCGAAAGTTTGTAACGATAGATGAATGTTTGTTACTCGTTCACGCAAAATCTACTGAACGGTTTTGAATGAAATTTAGTACACGTGTGAGTTAACTAACTTAGTTGTAGTCATCCAATGAATGAATGACCCGCACGAATGCAAAAATTAAACGAGTTAAGGGGCCGCCTGAAAATCAGCGCTGTATAGGCACATCTCGCTGGAGCTGTACATATATACTCGTAGCAACAGCTGAGGCGGCTCCAGCAATCAGCAAAATGAATTGTTTTTTTCTTTCTTTATTATTCTTTATATTTACTATTGTTAATTATTGTTGTTGGTGATAAAGAATCTATCTATCTATCTATCTATGTAATGAAACAGGAAAATGAAGAAGATAGTGCCTGCCTGCGACGTGGAGGCCCCGGTTTCGATCCCCGGCCAGGTCATGATGGAAAACGATCTTTTCCTGATTGGCCTGGGTCTTGGATGTTTATCTATATATGTATCTATTATAAATATAGTATCGTTGAGTTAGTATCCCATAACACAAGTCTCAAACTTACTTGAGAGCTAGCTCAATCTGTGTGATTTGTCCGTATATATTTATATTTATTTATATTTATATAGACGAACAAAAAAATCAACAAAAATTCTATGCATATTGAAATGTATGTACAGGATTGGGGAGATGCAGTATAATATATTATTAGTCTTCCCAATCCTTTCTTCTTTAAAGTTAAAATTAATGTGCACAGTATGTCTTGACGTAAAAGGTTGTATACTCATAGTTTGTCTTTGTATGTTACTCAATCAAGCTGAAGGAATTTGCATGAAATTTATTACACAGCTTGACTATATTCTGCGTTAACCCTTTGCACTCCAACCTAATGGAGTTTGACAGCCCCATTGCTAGCAATATACCTTATTAGGTCGACCTCCACGTGGTTCCCCCTGGAAACCATCGTGAACAATTCTCGTTGAATTCGTCACGATGGGCTAATTGACCTACTTCATCCTCACCTATCACCCTTCACTGGTGCCCCGCCGGTGTATACCGATAGTGCAGGTGGGGTTACCATTCCATTATCATACATTTAAAAAAAAAACTCCATCCTAATAACTCATAGAGGATACCAATAAATGCAGAACTATATTAGTTACATGTACATACACATTTGTGATGTAAAAGAAAAAAAAGTCGTTTTAAAACAAAACATTTGTTTTTACTATTTTATAAAGAGGTGAATCATTAAAACAAGCGTGTCGTTGTAGCTGCGACAGTGGATTGAATGTTAGCATTTTAATGTCGCAAATACGACGACAACGGGTTATTAAAATATGACGTACTTCAGTTGTAGCACTTCAGCTGCCCCGTCGTAGCATTTTTTTATCTCATTTATGTCCCCCAAATGCTGGAAGTAGATTCTGTTTTTCAAGAAGAAGTCACACTTGCTCACAATATTTATAAATGCATTAGCAATGTTTTTTTTTTATACGACTTAAAATGGCAAACAAGTTGATGGCCCACCTGATGGAAAGTGGTAACGTCAAAAACTCATGACAACAAGAGACATAACAGAATATGTCGTTTGATGATAACCCCCTCTCGCGTTGCCATTCCTGACGACTCGTGCCACACGAGCTTTGAACCTGTAAATTCGACGTAGAATATTCCATCCTGTCAAACTGAAACACAGCCATGCAAACACAATTGCTTCGAACATCGAAAAAAACAATGGAACATTGTCTTGACAAGCAATCGATTTTTTTTACGTGGTTCCCCGGATATATATATATATATATGCTTTGGGATTTTACTGTTCTTGATCGGCAAAAATTTCACAACATTCTTAAAGTTTATATTTATTTCGACGCGCTGCTCTTCAACGGAAGGGCGTCCATAGAAAAGTTTCGTTGGAAATCCTTCAAGATGGCGGAAAGAGTCAATAAGAAAAGAACTGAAGCATTGTTATGGACATAAGGAAGGGGTCCTTTTTACAAACTTCTATTTAATAGATTAGTTTTTTTTTTTTATTCAACTTTAGAATGACAAACAAGGTGACACATACCTGTGATGTAAAAGAAAAATGGAGTCGTTGTAATAAAACAAAACATTTGTTTCTTAGCTATTTTATAAAGAGCGCTGAGTCAGTAAAACAAGCGTGTCGTTGTCTGCGACAGTGGATTTTTAGCATTTTAATGTCGCACAATCATCAATTTTGATTTAATTATTAAAATATGACGTATTCAAATTCATCTTTATTCAAACTGCTTGTTAACGACATTTTTAACTGTATTTTTTTGACTGGAAGAGATCTCTGTCAGAGATAAGTCCACCCTTGCTCACAATATTTATAAATGCATTAGCAATGTTTTTTTTTTATACGACTTAAAATGGCAAACAAGTTGATGGCCCACCTGATGGAAAGTGGTAACCGTCACCTAATGCGAGCAGTACCATGGACATAACAGAGTATACTGTTTCCCCATGTCCCTAACAATGCTTGCCATTCTGGACTCAGGTGTTATTCCTCTGTACCCAGTAAATTCACGCCATATCCCACCTTTCACACGGAAACATAGCCATGCAAACACAACTGCTTCACGGTAGAAACACGAGTACACAAGCAATCGACTTTTACAAGTGCAATATATATATATATATATACTTTTTAACCTAATTTTGTGTAATAGTATCACAACATGCACTAAACGTTATATTTATTCCTAGGTGGTTAATATCCCAAGGGCGTATAGAAAAAGCCATGGAAATCCTTAAAAAGGTGGAAAGAGTCAATAAGAAAAAGATTCCTGAAGCAGTTATAATGGAATTCAAGGCGGGTACTTTTTATTACAAACTTCTATTGTAATTGATTAGTTTTTTTTTTTATACAACTTAAATGAAAAACAATTTGACGCCCACCTGATGGAAAGTTTTTGGTAACCGTCGCCTATAGACATGAGCAGTACCATGGACATAACAGTGTATACGTTTGTTTGAATATTATTATTGCTTTCAATCATCTATCTCATTCTACTGATTTTTTTTTTATATCCTCTGTACAATCATCAATTTTGATTTAATTTTCAAAATTATTGTACCGTCTATTCAAATTCATCTTTATTCAAACAGGCTTGTTTACGAGCATTTTTAAATGAGTCATTTTTTTATCAAAATTGATTTCTTATCTGTTGAGAAAAGCCCGCAAAAACTCGGCAGTTACACTTTAAATCTCTGCTAACATTATTTGTATTTATTAAAATATACTATGTCTGTAATTACTTGGTCATGAAATTAATTATTGTCACATTTATTAATTTTTTTTTATAAATAGGACACTGCTTTAGAAATAGCAAAGGCAGACCAAGAAGCCCAAAATTATTCATTTGTGGACCTCTTCAAGAGCCCCCGGCTGCGGCGGCACAGCATCCTGTTACTCTTCATATGGATGTCGACAGCCATGGTGTTCGATGGCCACGTCAGGAACGTGGGGTCCTTGGGTCTGGATATGTTCCTGACCTTTACTATAGCTACTGCCACGGAGTTCCCTGCTGATGTACTTTTGATATTAACTCTAGACAGGTATGCAGGTTTTATGCATTTTAAACTATTAATGTCTAATTATTATGTATATATGTATATATATAATAATAAATAATATAATAACGTAATGGGCAAGAATCGGGAAATCCAAATATTTGAACCAGAATGGTTACGCGTAATGCAGTTTCAGAGGAACTTCCTCCCGTGAACACTCAAGTTATGGTATGACTTTCCTGCCGAGACTTTCTCTAGGAACTACAGCATGGGTTACTTCAAAAATGGCGTATTTGGGTTTCATAAGGGTCGGCAACGCGTGTGTGACATCCCTGGTGTTACAGGCGTCCATAGGCTACGGTAACCCCGTTTACCATCACACGGGCCGTATGCTTGTTTACCACCATGGTAAAAAAAATATAAAAAATATTATGTGTTGAGTCAATGGTTAAGTAAAATTCTATTTTTGACAAACAAAAAAATAATATTAGCTATATATAACCTATAAACCATTTTCAAAATAGATGACAGTCTGTTGTTTTATTATTTGAAAACATTATCTGGAAATGTCTGAATGGGTTCAACAAAACTGGTGCAGTACAGAGCGTTTAATTAATTAGTGAATTAAACCTGACAGTATTATGAATTAAATTAACCTGTGCCACAAAACGGCACTAAAGGTCATAGATGAAACAATGCATTTTTTAATGACGTGATAGAGAAGTGTAAAAAACGGGACAACTTTTAGTTTGGCTGACGTAAAGTTCAAAATGGCTGACACTAGTTTTTTTTTTAACCAAAACAAATGTCGCTGCATTTATTTTTATTTAAAAAGATACTTATTGATCCTTATTGATAAATTAATGGACATCTAACACTTAGTAATACATGTATATTAGTGTAACTCAATTTACGCAGCATAGATAAAAAAAATAACCAGAGGGCCCACCATGAAATGTTTTCTGAAATTTCGGTGCTTAACGAAACACAAATTTGATGTTAAAATTACATAATACATGCCGTTTGGAAATATTAAAAATGTTAAAATATCGTTCCTTTGCAGTTTTATGATAGCATGTATGACGAACGAAATGTTAAACTCCATTTATTGGTCCGATTTTGGTATAAACAAAAACAAGAAATTGAGTCCGAAAATTCGGACTTTCATTTCATGGTAAACCCGCTGTTTTTAGCAAAACATCTATATGGAAACTCTTTATCTATGTAATCTACGTCTAAACCTGAGAAGATTTTAAAGTTAGTGTTAAAATAGGAATAGGAAGATTAACAATGAATTAACTTTTTATTTTAACTTTTATAAATAATGCCATCTTGCGGACCAAAATATATGTATAGTTACATAATGCTAGTTGCTAGAATTGTTTAAATCAAATTTTTTATGTCATTTTTTATAATATATTTTTTTTTTATATTTATCTACAGTGCTGGTCGACGCTGGGTTGCATTTGGGTCCATGGTTACCAGTGGCGTTTTCAGTCTTCTAGCTACAACTGTGCCCATCGGTGAATTTTTATTTATTTTTTTAAATACAATAGAAATAATCTCAATTCAAATAGTTTTTTTACACACTTTTTTAATTTGTCAATTTTATCTGATTGTACAGCTGGCTTCGGGATGTTGTTAGATAAGCAGGAGCTTAGAAGAACCCGCGAGAAACTCAACAGTTACACTTTTTTTTTATACAACTAGAATGGCAAACAAACTGACGGTAGACCTGATGGAAAGTGGTAACCGTCGCCTATAGACATGAGCAGTACCATGGACATAACAGAGTATACTGTTTCGCCCATGATATTTTCAAATTATTATGTTGAATTTATATTGTTAATATATTTTTATTATTAATACCTTTCTATAATCAAGAATACTTCATCATCACCATCCCAGTCTGTATCTATCGACAGTTAAACGCTTGATCCACAAATTTCTACCTTAATATCTTCTATAGCATGGAGAGATTCTTAATTTAAAATAAGTATTGCTAATGACTTCAATTTCACTATGTATATGCCGGGGGGAAGGGATTGTTAGTAACGGGGAGGTTAGTCCCCTTTGTTATCAATGTACCCTATCAGGTCGACCTCCACGCGGTTCCCCCTGGAAACTATCGCGACTAATTTATCGTTGATTTCGTCATGATAGACTAACTGACCTGTTTTTTCATCCTCACCTATCATCTCTCACTGGTGCCCCGCTAGTGTATACCGATAGCGCAGGCGAAGTTACCATTCCATTATCATCCATTAAAAAAAACTATATATATGTATGTATACTTGTTTACATCTCCCCGTTTTAGAACTACCTGTGCTCGCCAGAGGATGAGGAGGAGAGCCATACACTGTTGATTAAATTCTTCATCATCATATCAGCCTTCAAATGTCCACTGCTGGACATAAGCCTCCCCCTTGGGGGGTTTTACCAGTAGTCGCCACGCTTGCCAGGCAGATTGGCAACGACAGTTAGACTTTAGAGATGTTTTAACAGGGACGCTGCTGCCCATCCCACGCCCTCCCTTAGTCGCCTCTTACGACACCCACGGGAAAGTAAGGGGTGGTCTGTTCTTCGCCTGGACCATACGGCTATTCAGATGAGATTCATACTAGGACCAAAAATCTTGGCAGCTCCTACATTTATCGAGTCATCAAATTATGGAACTCCCTTCTGGGATCTGTGTTACCTGATTCATAGTCCATGATTTGACAGTGACATTTCTTTCTTTTTTATTGTTGACAAGTGTTTGACATTTTTGATGTATTTTTTTTATATAACATTTCGAATTTTAATGACTTATTTAACATTTACAAGTTTTAATATTTGAGCCGTGACTTAAAAATGTTTATATAAGCCGGAATAGTGTAGGCCGCAGATTAGAGGCAATCTTGCGTTGGACATGCGACCCACATAGATACCTTATTACGATTAATCACTTACCATCACGTAGTTATAGAGTCAATGGGCCGTGCCAGTATAAAAAATATCTATTCTCCAGGTATACCATCAGCATCGCTCGCCATCGTGGGCCGTTTTGCGGTAAACATTTCTTACAACATTGGCATGCAATACGCAGCCGAACTATTGCCTACCGTGGTGCGTGCGCAGGGTCTGTGCCTTATCCACATAGCGGGCTATATAGCCACTGTTCTGGTGCCTTACATCGTCTACCTGGTGAGTTAATATTATTATTTCAGCCGTTAACTCTCTACTGCTGAAAGCCTTCCTCTTAAGGGGAGTTTTGCTAGAAGTTGGTACGCGGTTTGGCAACCGCAGTTAGGCTTTTAGAGATGTTTTAAGAGGGACGCTGCTGTTTATCCCTCGCCTTATCTTAGTTGCCTCTTAAGACACTCACGGGAAAGGAAGGGGTGGTCCTTTCATTGCTGAGGCACACACGGAGGAGTGATGGGGAGTTAATACCAGAGGGAAATCTTTGTATGTACAAAAATTACTTTTTTCAACTTAGTATGGCAAACAAGCTGACGGCCCATCTGATGGAAAGTGGTAACCGTCGCCTTTAGACATGAGCAGTACTATGGACATAATAGTGTATACTGTTTCACCCATGATACCTAAGGACTCAGATGTTATTCCTCTGTACCCAGTAAATTCACGCCATATCCCACCCTTCAAATTGAAACACAGCCATACAAACACAACTGCTTCACGGTTGAAACACGAATGGGACAGAGGTACCCAAGCAATCGACTTTTGTACAAAGTCTCATTCTGGTATAGTTGTGTATTGATCAAAGAATAAGATATAACAATGTTAATTTTTTATACACAATACTATATTACACAGCCCTACTGAAAGAATGCAGTAGCTGTTGCCTGTAGTAATAATAGGCATCACAGATCATACTGTGTCGCCCATGACACACTTCATGCGCTGCATCACTGAGGAATAGTGTTACGCCTTCTAAAATTTGTATGAAAATCAATCTGACAGTATATCCTTTCAGGTAAAAAATGGATTTTCCAAATCGGTTTACAAATTACTGAGTTATGAATTTACAAACATAGAAAAAGAATACAACCAATTTAAGAGTTTCCTTTTTTGAAGTCGGTTGAAAAATTTAGTTTTTTTTTTGTTTCAGGCCACAATAAATGCAATGATACCATTATTGATCCTGGGAGTGCTTGGTATTTTAGGGGGATCACTGTGCCTGTTCCTACCGGAGTCAACCGGGAAAGCAATGCCCCAAACAATCCAAGATGGCGAGGAATTTGGCAAAGGGCAAAAATTCTGGGAAATACATGGTCGTGATAAGTAAATTATTATTTTAGGGTATAATTGCTTATTTATTTTTAATATTTATGTAATTGCCTTATTTTAAATCTATTTAAATGTTGTTACCATACATAAAACAATATCATTATAAATAAAAATATTGTTTGAAATGAACATGATGAAATAAAGAGATTACAGATTATAAAATATGTATTTTTTACTGCCATTTTACCTATTTAAAATTGCGAATTAAGGTTACCAGACCAATATCACAGAACAAATAAGTACTTAATATACTTATTAAGGAAACCTAATGGTAGAGGGATGGGCAGCATCGTCCCTCATAAAAAAAATCACCAAAGTTGTCAACCCGCCTGCCAAGCGTGGCAACTACTGACAAAAGTCCACTTCTGGGGAAGGCTTATGTGCAGCAAGGGACAGTTAATAGATATGTTGAAGCAAGTAACTTTAGTGAGTTCTTGGGGGTACGGGCCAAAGAAAACGTTTTTTATTGTGGGAATATACTTTTACTGGAGGTAAACATATAACCCGTATTAAATATTGTACTACATAGAAAAACATGGACAGTCTTACAATAATCTTACAGACAGTACAGACTAATTAACAAGCAGAGACAACTCGCTAATCTAGAGTATACAATCATGGAATCGAGCTGGGAGGCGGTGCTGGCGGCCTCTGCTCTCTCGATTACCGAGAGTAGGTAATCGAGTGATGGCTACATAACATATAATTAACGGTTCAGGTGGATGCAAAGAACAAATATTGTTCCAACCAAGATTATTTGTTTACAACAACAATAAAAAATAAAAACAATTACAAGCCACAAAATAAAGTTTCATCCCAATCATCTGGACGAGTGGCGGTCTTCCACCGTGCGTTTTTCAAGGCACTTTCTTCCACGCACAACCACTCTTTGGAATGAACTTCCAGCAGCAGTATTTCCGAATCGATACGACATCATAATCTTCAAGAAATAGCATATTCCTTTTTAAAAGGCCGACAGCACACCTGCTCCCTGCTCCCTGTTTGCTCCCTGTGTTGTAAAAAAAAGTACCAAAAACGCAGTAGTAAAAGTAGTTTGTTTTTTTTTATGAATGAAGTTGGAATGGTGCTCCCGTCTATGCTAACTGTATAAAATGGCGAGGCATTTGTGGAGGATGAAATGAAAAGAATGAAGCCAGGACAGTTAGTCCATCCTGGCAAACTTACCACAAATTCACCACGATAGTAGAGAAGAGAGAGAGAGAGAGAAAAGAGATCGTGTGGAGGTCGACCTGAAAGTATATCACTAGATGGGGATTAACATCCCGATTACTAATATGACGTCATTTATTCCTCCCCCTAAGTTTGGTTGTTACTTCTTGGCTCCTTAGAGAAGTATCTGGTAGAAACTTATTCCGGTCACTATATCTAAAAGAAGAAGACGAAGTCACGGGTGCTGATAGTACTTATTAGTTTAGTACCTACTGTACATGGAATTTTGAAAATAAACCTAATTATTGCAACTTCTTAGCTCGTTAAAATATACAAGAAATTGTAAACAAAGTTATCATTCGGAAAAAGGAGGTCAAGATTCAATCGATGGTTCAAACACGAAGCTGTGTATAAATAGAGAAATTTAACTGAAATGTAAACAATAACACTCTCTTACTAATGAATAGAGCTACTAGTGCTGAACTACTGTCGATAAAAAATGCTATCGACAAGGTTGAATAAAAAATTAAAAATATAAAATTCAATTCAATTTTTGTTCCTATAATAAATTGTCAAAAAGCATCCTATCTATGTGTGTGGTCCCATCATAGAATAAGCCATTCTTTCCTTTCCCATGAGTGTCGTAAGCGAGAGATGGACAGCGGCGACCCTCTTAAAACATCTCAAAAGCCTAACAGCGGTTGCCAATCCACCTGCCAAACATGGTAACTACTGGCAAACCCTCTCAAGGAGGAGGCTTATGTTCAGCTGTGAGCAATTAAAGGCTGATATGATGAACTATGACGATCCCAGGTAAATTTTATAGGAGGCAACCATTGATCCATTAATCTTACGATCTGTCTTTCACCACTGTATTAAAATAGGGTCACTAACTTTTAACAAACGAAGCCCACCTACCTATGAGTACTACGACGAAAACTTTTTTTTATACAACTTAGAATGGCAAATAAGCTGACGGGCCACCTGATGGAAAGTGGTAACCGTCGCCTATAGACATGAGCAGTACCATGGACATAACAGAGTATACTGTTTCGCCCATGATACCCCCATGCGTTGCCATACCTGTGGAGTCAGATGTTATTCCTCTGTACCCTGTAAATTCACGCCATATCCCACCCTTCAAACCAAAACACAGCCATGCAAACACAACCGCTTTACGGTTGAAACACGAAAACTTGTTTGAATTTGTTACAAAACACAACAAAACAAACTTACAGAACATGAATTCACAAAAGGAATACTATTATAATTAAAGATTGTGCTCCACAAAAAACCTACTTCAGTTGAGAAAAAAACCAGTTATTTTTTATCTAAAAACTAAACAACTGAATCGATTTTGATAAAATATCTGAGACCAATCTATAAGTATATCCCTTTAGATAAAAGGAGAATTTTTCTAATTAATTTAGAACTGGTGAAGTTAGGAGCTGACAAACATAAATAAATACAACCATATTAAGAATCTCTTTCCTTTTAAAGTCGGTCGAAAATGGTATAAATACGATGAATCAAATACTTCACGGTAGTATTTGCGAAGAATAGAGTTACTATTAGTATAGTATTATAATACATGTGTATCAAGTGAACATATGCAATCACAACTACTTCACGGCATAAACACGAATAGGACAGAGGTACCCAAGCAAACGACTATTGAACAAAATCTCCTTCTGGTAATATTGTAAATACAATTTGATTTTTATGTTTATTTGTAACGGATAAACTAATAAACTTTTATATATAATTGGTTTTTAGATCTTTCATGTATAGAAAGCTATTATATCAACGATGTATTAAAAAAACCGTACAAAACCGAGGCGAATTGATAGTTCAAAAGTGAGTTAAAAAAAAACATCGATATCATTGAAAAACTTAAATCACCACATCACTAATCCATATAAATTTTATTTATAAACAAAGCAAAAACTCATCCGATTACAGATTGCACTTGATTACAATTGAAATACCTTCAAATTCTACGCATTCGAGCCTCATTGGCACAGGACATGCCACAACTGTAGTGATGTGTAATAAAATAAAAATATCGATATTTTTATTAAAAATAGTCATAACTTCGTCGAGCATTTTGAAATCAGAACCGAATTATATAAAGCCCGCATTGGATAGAAATAATATAGTCAATAAAGGTATTTGGATAAGAAATAGAAATAATAATGAGTTCGAGAGGCCAACCATCGGTGAATTTATTTATCGACCGAATTCACTAAATCTGGACGATTTATTAGACAATAATTTTTATGCGTCTGGTAACAATTATGTGGCAGATTCACCGATTATATCGAATTACGTGGAGAGATCGAAGAGGGCATCAAATTGTAAGTGAATTTCAATATTAAACTTTTTTTTATATCTACAAATACAACTAAACCTCCAACTAACATCTACAAATATGAACAGGTATCGTGCCACAACTATAAACTATATTAACCCATTCCAAGGTATAGGTTTTCTCCCATAAAAAACAGAAGGGAGAAACATCCTGAATATAAGTTCACTCCCACGTGCTTGCACTTCTGAGGTATTTATTTATTTATTATTTATTGCACAATAAAACTTTGTACAAGTGGCCAGCATAATGCCGTATGGCATTCTCTACCAGGTACTATGAGGGATTTAGGTTTTAAATCACTGGTATTTATGAATGGCGACGCGTAAAGGTTCTTTAATGTATTCAGTCCATAGTCTCAAATATTTTATTTCCTTGCTCTGTTAATTTTTCTAACTTCTTACTCTGAGACATGAAAGGAAGTGATAATATAATGAAATGAAATTCCATCTTATCACCTTTCACCATCACCTTTATTGCTATTCCCAATATTATAAAGATATCATAAATGAGAATAAAACTATTATAATTACAGATGATAAGACAAAAACTAATAGAAAAAATATAAAAGCCTGTGATGGTCAACCTGATTGCCCCATAAAAATGTTTACCGAGGAAAACACGTTAGGTAAATCTGAATTAATAACGAAATTGAGACCCGCATCTGTATTTAATGACTATCCGTATGAAGTAGCCATATTGTTAGGTAAAACGCAAGACGTAAAATCGGATTCTGCGGACAATTTGCAAATATTAGATGAAAATAAGTCTGATATTACAAATTTAACTGAAGCTAAAAATTTATCAGAAAACATTGTACCTATTAGGAACCCTAACATTAAAATCAATGACAAAATTACAAGTAACAGTTCTAACATAACAATACCAAAGCGAAGCATGAAAAGTGATTATGAATCTAAGCTTATTAAAAAAATTGAATACGATGAAATAATAAATGACCCTGTTGAGCCTATAAAATATGGTCAAAATGTGTTTGATAAAGATTCAGGAATTTGGCAAAAGTATACACAAAAAGTTGAGAAAGGTGGTATAAATGAAAGAGGATTGATTAAAGTATTATCAATGCTCACTAAAACATTTAAAAAAACAACTAAACAACATAACGATATCAAAAATATTCATAATAAGATACAGACAACAAAAGTGGAAATGGATAAAAATTTAGAGGGCTTAACAGAAAAATTCCGAGACTTTAATGTCAAATACACTTATTTACTAAATTTTAATGAAAAAATAAAACAATTAGAAGCTAAAGAAGAATATTTAAAAAAGAAACACGACGAAATATCTCAGAACTTGATAGAATTTGAAAACCAGCAGAAAAAGTTTTTAGCGCAACAAAGACAATTCTATAACATTCAAAAACTAATGTTGGCTCAAAATGAGAAAATTAGTATAAAACAAAATCTAATAGCAAAGACTCAAAGTGAAATTTCTCACAGACAAAACAATTTTGTTCGGATATTGAAAAAGGCTAAACAAATATACATAGACAGCAAAAAAGTTACTAAATTAAATAACAAAGAGGATAACGGAAAAGTTAATCCTACAAAAGTTACACACACGACGACTTCATCACCACTTACAACGGAATCGATAAAAATAGATTTGTTTTCCATTCCCACTTATACTGAACTTTTTAATCAAGATACACTTATTCTGAAAGACAAGGATGAACATACTGTAGACGATTTGATTTATAAATATTATTTTAACAATACATTTATAGATAATTTAATGAAAAGCAAAGTACTAACAAATTTTGTAACCAAAAATAAAAATACAGATTTAACTAGAAATATAAAAATTAAGAGAAATAAATTTAAGGAACCTAAAAAATTTAATACAACAATATTAATACCAGTTAATAATTCAAAAATAAATCTTGGAGAATCCAGTCAGAGGCATAGAGAGAAAAGATGGATCCGCAAACATTCCGCGGCCAAATTTAAAAGACACAATCGAGGCAAATCAAGTGTTGTTACAGTTAATCATATTGATGACGCGAAACTAAACAATATTGTTGTGAAACCAACAAATGTTATGCCTAATATAAACGAAGATGTTAATGACCCATTTAGGGTTATGGCTATAAACTTCTGTAATGAAATAGGTCAGAATGTAAATGAACAGGTACTTAGTTGGTGCATAGAAAAATCCTTGCGCAGATTAAAGAGTATTGGTATGTTTAACCTATTATTTATTTATTATTATTATATTATTATCTCTATGTCTATGTGTTGGTAATAATATTTTATAATTTTCTAGATATGAAATTTCCTTATTCACCTGTTCCTGAACGAAAACCGACTAGAGGCATAACAAACAAACCAACTGTTGAACAAATTAAAATAACAAAAGATCTAAAAAGATCCACGTTGTATCCATCAAGTAAGAATGAAACCGATATGATTTTTCTAATAGTTTGGATAAAAAATCTTGAGTTAAAGATGTAATCCTAATGTTTTTATTTTAGCTACTTCCTCCAGCTTGGCACAGTCATCTTCTACATCGCCACCGTCTTCATTGAGTACAAATCCAGTGTATACATTAATTACCAAAACAATGCAAACCAACGTATTTTTTCCAGGTTTTGTATTCTTTTTTATATTTTTATTTTGTCTTATCATATAATTTTTGTTTTTTTTTTTTAAAGAGTGATAATGGAATGGTAACCCCGCGCTATCGGTATATATCTGCGAGGCACTAGTAAAGGATGATAGGTGAGTATTAAGCAGATCAATTAGCCCATCATGACGAATTCATCAAGAATTGTTCACAATGATTTCCAGAGGCAACCACGTGGAGGTCGACCTAATAGGGCATATTGCTAGCAATGGGGCTGTCAAACTCCATTGCTAACAATCCCTTTCCCCCTATAATTTTTATATACATACAGTATCGAGTGTCAAAAACTATACAAGTCAGCTAAATTGATATTTGACTGACTCAATTTAACATATTTAAACCAAAACAAAACGCGGCATTTGTTCGAATTCTTAAAAAATAAATTTAATATATAACTAGAATCTATATTTTGTGATATAATATATAAATATGTACGTGTTACTTAAAAATTAATATTCATGCATTAATTAAAATGGCGGCCATTTTAAATGATTTTAAAACGAAAACATATTATAAATCTATAATTCGAAATAAAGTAATCGATAAAGATAATCTTGATCTTTTAAAATATTGTTCATATGTTTGTATCATTTTTATTTATCAATTTCACCATACAATATAATTTCTTCCATATACTCAGTAATAAATTTGCATTATGGCAACCCTATTCACGCACACACGGATGAAAAGATTGACCTGTTTTGGCAAAGCACTTGTATGATACTCTATTTCTATAATCGAAGTATTTTTTTTTTATTTACTAGCTAAATGAAAAAGGAAAAAATATTCTATGTTCAGAGAACTCACGACGACAATCTTTTAATTAAAACGGTTTATTCTCTTGTTAATTTAATAGTCGATTCCTTTTTTAAAAAACAAAATTTTAAATTAGACAACTTAAAATTACTTTATTTTTTATAACTAAATACTCATACATATTTTTTTTTTTAGATAATGAAGAACTAGAGTCGAATCTGAAACAATACGGTAAATATTTTCGGTTAATTTACGAAAACTAATAAAATGAACACATAATAAATTTATATTGTAATTTTTTTAATAATTCTACATTCCTTAGTTAAATTTATATTAGTTTTAATTTGCAAATTACCTACTGTACAACAAACCCAGCTTGGTTCCACCGAGCCGACTGAAAATTGAAAATCACATGTCAACAGAGTCGTAGTTGGGTCTAGCCCAAGTTTAAGGTAGGGCAAAAGAACTTTTAGGTAGAGCAGAAGTCACAATTACGTGACATCGAAAGCGAATCTGACTAATTTTATTTTATTTTATTTTATCTTTATTTGGTCTCCCAGCAATTGTTACACTGATAAGATTTAATATTAAAATTACTGTCTATTTATACTTAGTGTACAATCATTTTAAAGGAAACACAGCGTGCTAATTAACAAAAACAATAATATGGTATAACAATCTCTTGAGGTATTTGACATTGGTATAGTTTTTTTAGATTCAATAGGTGATTTTCTTGAGACCTTTCATTTTAAGGCAGGGCATTGGGCCTTCTTAGGTAGGGCATTGCCCCTCAATGTACCCCTCCCTCCCCCTAGCTACGACCATGTATTTTAAATATAAGTACACATAGATAAATAAATATAAATACACGAGTAATTATTTGCAGAGATTAGACCTGACACTGAAGGCAATTTCTACTATGATGGTAGTTTGCATGCCAGCGATATTGGTAATATATTTTTTTTTGTTATTTTACTTTTAAATAAATAATTATTATGTCAACCGTTAACTGTCCACTGCTGGGCATAGGCATAGGCCCATCCCATAAGGAGGGTGTTGCTAATAGTTACCACGCTTGGCAGGCGAGTTTGGGAGTCAGGCTTTGGTGATATTTTAAAAGAAACGTTGTTGCCCATCCCTCTACTTTAAAATTTTCTTAGTCGCCTCTTACAATATCCATTACAATATTCAGAAAAGGAAAATATGCACATAAATATACTTTATTAAAAAAAAACATCTCAAGCGCAATACAACAAGTTTGTTCCTAAATTGGCCTGATCGAGAATCAAATCTGAGACCTCATACGCATAGCAACATGCCCACCACTGCGTCATGGGAGTCTGTATATAATTTTTTTATCTCAAATTAATTTTTTTTTGATGGGTTAAAATGGTATGGTAACCCCGCCTGCGCTAACGGGATAGCGTGCACTAAATATCGGATATGATAAAGTTTTTATACATTTATACACCTAGTTTATAGAAATTTATATATATAAAAAAAAACCTCAGTTCTACACACTGATATATTAATACAGATAAAAAAAGGATGTCGCATAAAACATAGCGACAGAAAACACAGCTTAAATAAAAAGAAAAAAAAACACACATACCTACGACGAATTGATACCGAAATTAGTCGAGCTTTCTCTATGTTAAAATGGTAGTAATGGTAGTAATATTAAAAAAAATCTATTGTTAATATAATTAATATATATCAATAATTAATTAACTATATATTCAAATGTCAAAATGTAAATAAATCTATTGTTTATTTTCCCGTTAGTTCCTACCGATAGTGATGGATTCTCCGAGCTGATGCCAGGCTTAGACAGCAACTCTCATGTAGATCTGGACCCTTTGGCCTTCGACCTTCAATCTAGAAGACGGGCTTCAGTACGAAGGTCAGATTTTTTTTTAATTATCCCATAAGATTAAAAATAAGTAAATTAATCCTTTGCTACTTACTGTATATTAATTTGTTGGCTGTATTATTTTTAAATAATTATAATTTGAAAAAAAAATATTAACATTCCGTTATTGGTCGAAGTAGATAAAAGTTTTCTTTTTTTAATGCAACTTAGAATGGCAAACATGATGACATCCCACCTAATTGAAAGTGGTAACCATCGCCTATAGACATGAGCAGTACCGTGGACATAACAGAGTATACTGTTTCGCCCATGATACCCCCCATGCGTTGGGGGAATCATGGGCGAAAGAGTATAGGGAAAGGGAAATACAGCTACTTGAAAATCCTCAAAAATTTGGAATTTTTTTTGTTTCCCTAATTTTTTCCTCTAGTTGTATATATATATAATTTATGTTTACTTTTTCAGAATCAACGAAAACATATTAAGAAAAATGGCGGGTAAATGATGCAAGCAAACCAAATTGTTTCAAATATACAAGTATATAATCATATCATCTATTAACTGTCTACTGCTAAATACAAAGTTCCCCCTATGGGGGGCTTTGCCAGTAGTTGCCATAATTGGCAGGTGAATTAGCGACCGCAGTTAGGTCTTAGTGATGTTTAAAGACGTAGGCTGCTGCCCATCGAACATTCAATTCCCTTAGTCGCTTTTACGATATCCACAGGAAAAGAAGGGGTAGCCCATTCTAAGTCGGGACCATAAAATGTAGAATATAATATACAAGTATATATACTTGCAAAAAAGAAGCAACTACAATGGTGAATGCATTGATAAACTACTATGAAATTACGGGGTAGGGAAGCATAGCGAACATTTTCAATTATCCATGGTTCTATTCATATCCATAGAAGACCACCGGACCACCGGAGGGAGACTTTGTACAAAAGTCGATTGCTTGGGCACTTCTGTCCCAATCGTGTTTCAACCGTGAAGCAGTTGTGTTTGCATGGCTGTGTTTCGGTTCGAAGGGTGGGATATGGCGTGAATTTACTGGGTACAAAGGAATAACACCTGAGTCCTCAGAAATGGCAACGCATGGGATGTATCATGGGCGAAACAGTATACTCTGTTATGTCCATGGTACTGCTCATGTCTATAGGCGACGGTTATCACTTTCCATTAGGTGGACCGTCAGCTTGTTTGCCATTCTAAGTTGTATAAAAAAAAGACATTTATTAATTCCCTTCAGATAAATAGCTTCTTTACTATTCTGAATTGTATATTTGGTAGTAAATATTTAATAAAAAAAAATGCACATACTTATGTAAGCCCTTGATAACTTTTTTTTAATGAAAAATAAACCTAATTACGTCTATGCTAAAGATCTATGGTTGTTTATTACTTTTTTTTATTATTTGGCGTCAAAAAGTGTTGCCACATCTAATAAAATAATTAAGTAGATATTTCAATAAAAATAATTTTAATTAAGTATGAACAAAATGGAATGTGTTGCCCATTTAAAAGTAATAATAGTTAATTTTTTTAAGGATTTAATAAAATATTATAATATTTATTTGTGTTGTTTGTTCTCCTTTTAACACCTCAATTTCGTACGCCGATTATGATAGCTTTAAGAGATCTCTCTATACGATAAGTCCGCCATTGTATTATTTTTTTTTTCTTTTCATTTTTTGTGTTCAATGTAAATTATGTACAATAAAGATTTTATAAAAACAACATGATCTAAGGGACATGGATTACAATTTTTTTTTTATCTGATAGTAAAGGAATAGGATACGTTTGTACACCAATAAAAAATTTAAAAAATATATTTTATAGTTTAGAAGAGAGATTCGTATCCATCAATAGATAGAAAATACTAATCGCCCGACGTCACTGTCTCGTTCTATTTCATGCATGCGGTAGCGATAGCGTATCTATCGATAAAATTAGCCATTTGTGGCTATTTAGTATTCTACAAATAGACAGAAGTCTCTAGAATTAAAATGTTACGTAGGAAACCAGTTTCAGCTGATAAAAATGGACCAGTAAATGGCCTATTACCTGTGGCCTGGCATTTTCAAAGAAAAATCAAATCAGTAAGCCCATTGCGCTGAGGGCGTATTATTAATCTATTGGAAGAAAAAGAATTGTTAGAAGTGGGCTCTAACAGCTCTACTACAGGCAGTATACCCTCCCGACTCGACCTCCACGCGGTTCCCCTGGAAACTATCATGATTAATATCTGATGATTCGTCACGATGGGCCAACTGACATTATGAATTAGCATTGCTTTCGAACGTAAATTTGACCCTACAAAATTAATATAACAGTCCTCGATACAGTTATTTAAGGGATTAATAAAGGGATTTTAATAAAAGATAATCATTAAAATAGATTCACAATTAACAAAATAGATTATTACAATATATATATATATATATATATATATATATATATATATATATATAAACCTCTTTACCCCCCTTTTGAAGAACCCCATACTTGGAAAGCTTGATGTCTGTTGTTATATCATGTATATATATATATATATATATATATATATATATATATATATATATATATATATATATATATATATATATATATATATATATATATATTATTTTTGAAATCGATTTAAAATAAGCTCACAGTTAATACAACATATGTGCAAACAATATGAACAATTTAACCCTTCTTTGCATAATGGTGGAAATTTCCATCATCAACATTGAATGCCCCAAAAATTATATAAAAGAACAAGTTCACTTGAAGTTGATCGTGTGTGAATACCTTTTTAATGTCCATTGCAAAAAAAAAAACATATCTGTCAAATTTATTTTTTTAACCATTTTTCCTTTAATTTTGAACATTAATTATTTCACCAATAAAAAAATCATGCAAACAAAGGTTAAAATATTCACACGGTAATCTTTAAAAAAAAATAGATTTTAAATTAGCAAAAAAACACACGTTCACAAAAAAAAACTATACGAATAGGCGAATTGAAAATTCCCTCCATTTTGTATTCGTTTAAAAATAAAGTTCTGGTACGAGTATTAAAAAAAAAACACACACAAAAACCTTATCAATGTTTTGTAAATATCCTAGTTTCGTGAAGTTAGAACCTTCTCACGAACACTTCAATATGTTTAGTTCATTAAAATCTACAGTTTGAGACATTTGTAATTGTTAATTGACTGTTTATTAGTTTTTCCATTAAATATTGGTGATAAATATTATTTTTATTATAATAAAAACAAATTAAGTTTAATCTCGTGACTGCCTGTCATTGATAATTGTTTTTTTCTACGCGAAAACCAAGGTGATGAAGGTGAAACTACAATAGTTTTACAATCGCAAGTTTATACTATGTATGGTTTTAATGGGTGAAAAAATGGTATATAATGGAGGCGAACGAAACAGAAATTTGATGTTAAAACTCCGTTTAAAATTATTAAAAATGTCTATTAGGATAGAATTTGTGATGTGCTACAAACAAAAAACTGTATATAAGCTGGTGGGGCATCATAGTTGAGGTGAGGGTTCATAGTTGAGGATGAAAGCATGGCAGTTGGCCAATCATAATGAATTCGACAACAATTAACGGTTTCAAGGAGGAACAGTGTGAAAGTCGACCTGATAAGTCGGCCGTTAAATCCCCATTACTTACAATCATTACATATTTTTTTGAATGGATGATAATGGAATGGTAACCCGCTTGCGCTAACGGTATTCGCTGGCGGGGCACCAGTGAGGGATGATAGGCGTAAATGAAAAGACAGGTCGGTTTGCCCCTCGTGATGAATACACCTGGAATTTAGCACGATGATATCCAGGGGGACCACGTAGAGATCGACCTGCTAGGGTATATTGCTAACAAAGGGATTGGTATTCCGCATTACTAACAATCCCGTCCCCCCGAACCTACCTATTATGACAGTATTATTTAATTAACAAATTTTTAAATAATCTAAATAGACCTGGTGTAATCTTTACGTTGACGTTAGGATATAATTTTAAGTATTTGTAACACAAATACTAAAAATTATACCTATTATATTATATTTTTACAACAAAAAAAAAGCAATAAATTGAATATTACAAGTATTGAATAACAATAATAAATATATTTTACAAACAACAATGTCAACGTTATCCATGATTTTTTTTTTAGTACGTTTATTCCGTTGTGGAACAGGCTAAGGTCGGAGACCATGCTGTCTAGTCTTCAATATGATAATTTGTCTGGAATGTTATCCATGATATATTATGTCAAATTTATTTTTTAATTCTGGTATTTACGTCAATCACCAGTACTAAAGTCATTAACGATGTAACAGCATTTTATTACGATTAACTAACAATACACAGCTAAAATTACTTAGTCTAATAAGTTGAAATTTAGGTATGCATACGATAATAAAGGTTATTTTGATTTTTTAAAATTTCAACCTAAAAAGGAAACGCTGCACCACACGTGCAAACTCATAGAAAATATCTAGTATTTAATATAGTCTTCATATTTCTATTTAATTTCAGGTATCTCCGTTTATTTAATTCAAATAAACACATCTATGTCACGGTGCGATTACGACGTTTTATTCTATAGAGTGTTTTGTCTCGCTCTTTTAATAATCGCTTTCATTTTTACTGTAATATTGACAAATGTGTTTATCGATATTGATGGTTTGTTATCGAGAAAAGGTAAAGGTAATTAAAATAATAAATATACTTATTAGGTAACTGAATAAATATCATACAGCAAATCAAAAGTTCCAACATTTAAATTGTCCTAATTTAATGGTAAAATGACAAACTGGTTCTATGATTAATTAACAATTTGTTACTAACTTCATGTGTCTAATTTCGACGTACAATATTTTGTAACATAAATACCATAAATAATAATTGAAATCTTCATAAAATTTTATTGGATTTTAACGATTACTTCCATACAATATGGTCATTTAATAAAGATTGTGTTCCAATAAAAAATCGGCTTTAATTATGAGTAACCTATTTTAATTTAACAAATAAACTACTGAACCGATTTTAAAAAAAATTCTATGGAACCAATCTGTAAATATATTTACTTTAGATAAAAAAAATCCAAATCGGTTTATAACTGACGAAGTTATGAGGTAACAAACATTAAAAAAAGAAAACAAAACACAACCGAATTAAGAATCTTCTTCTTTTTAAATTCAAATAATTAAAATTAATAGTGCTTGAAAATGGTGGAGCAAATATATAAAATAATGGATCACAATTTGTTTTAGGAAAACTTCCTAACACAAACCCTCTGACAGAGAAAACTGACATCAGTGCGGTACCAGATGAAATAAAATCGGAGATACTGTACAATGATGACAACCACTATGAGGACAATGAATATTCCGACAGGACGAAAAGATCTTCGGGTGAATTATTGTTTTTTTTTTTTATACTACTTAGAATGGCAAACAAGCTGACGGCCCACCTGATGGAAAGTGGTAACCGTCGCCTATAGACATGAGCAGTACCATGGACATAACAGAGTATACTGTTTCGCCCATGATACCCCCATGCATTGCCATTCCTGAAGACTCAGGTGTTATTTCTCTGTACCCAGTAAATTAGTACATTGAATTTATTAAAACTCCCGCTTCCATTTCATATTAAGCTTTATGATGATACATACATATCCGTCACATCTGTCTCTCAATAAAATATTATCATGATAGCTAGATAATAGACAAATATCTTTTTTTTTAATTCATTCGCTAGACACCATTACTTTTATACTCTTTCGTATTTATTTATTTAACTTTAATACAATACAATACCTAAAACATTTAAATATTAAATACAGTAAAAACATATATCAGAGAAGCTTTCACAATAAACTTACACATTTTATCGAGAACAGATGATTTTTTTTTTTTAATTAACAAAAAATAAATATAACAGTAATAGTTTTAAAATGATTTTTCCCTCTTCAATTATGCGGAGTTTGCGCTCCTCTCTCATATACTTTATATATATATAAGTTTAGATCTTCACTGAATATGTAAAAAGAGAGAAACCGCTGATTATTGTCATTACAGACTCTTAGAAGAAAAGTATTACTCATGCAATTCGTAAGTGAAAAATGTATACTAAATAGCTTATTATTTCTAGAATTTATTATTTTATACAGATTCTGAAGACTATCTATTACACATAAAAAATCCAAATGTAAAGAGCGTACTTAAAAATCGTCTCACAATGCTTTTAGAAGAATTAGACACAGAAGAAACTGCGACGGATACAAATAAAAAGGAACGTGTTAATGAAAATACTTCAAAATCGAAAGACAATACCGTGAATTTATTAAAAGAAAACAAAGACATTAGAGAAATTGATGAAAATACACATGGAAATATGAAAATAGCAGAAAGTGTGAATGGCAAGGCGAACCAAGCTAAAAAACCAGATGAAGATATACAAATAAAAATTGATAAAGTTGAGAAAACAACAAAGGAGTTTTTAAGAAATGTACAAAATGATGATTTATTACATTTAGCAATGCACAACATGCTATTACAAGGTATAATTGAACATATGGATCTCAACAATGTATTTAAAAAAGTTCATTCTTTGATTAACAATTTCAATAAATTGAACAGTTTAAATAAAGGTAACTCTAATGTTATATTCTTTTTATATTTTTAAATTCTTACCGTTTATAATACATAGTATTATAAAGCACTATAGAGTGCGAATACTTTTATCGACTTTTATTAACGTACTAGATTACAATAGTAAATCAAAATGTAGGTGATCTTGATATTTTATCTGTGAGGTGATAAAGTAAATAATTTGGCACCAGTGATCTTACCCAATTTCGAACGAACAAATAGAATTTTTAAAAATAAAATACAGCCTATATTACTTGCCGATAACGTAACTGTTCATAATTTAAAGAATTTTGAAAATCGAATAAATAATTTTTATGTTTATCCATTATAAATAAATAAAAAATCAAACCTTTTCTCTTTATAATATTAGTACAGATTAATACTTTCACAACCAGGATATAATAGAAAACAAATAGGGGATCAGTCAAAAATCTAATACAAATAAAAGATACAATAAAGCAGCGAGACAATAATAGGTTGTTACGTATAGGCACTATTTTTAAAAAATTATAAAACTGTCTATTTGTATGTACTTCTATTTATCTGTAAAGAGATAATTATAATATTTTTTTTGTTTTTTATAATCTAAATACTCAAATATTATTGTTAGAAAAACTTATAAAAACACAAGTGAAGAAAACTGTAACACCAAATTCCAAACGACAAATGAATCCAGGCGAGGAGAATAACTATTTGAAAGAAATGGTAAACTGTAGCAAAGTACACAATGAAATAACTGAAACAATAGAAGGAAAGAATAAAGAAGCAGTAGAAGAAAGAAAAAATATTCCAAAGAAAGGTACAGTAATTTAGTAATATTCTTGAAATTAAACGGTTTAGAAGTAGCAGTATAGGTGAAACAGATTTTATGACATCAATCCCGTGTAAAAAATAACTGACAACTATATGCAGTTTAGAATTAGTGAAAACATGACGTAAAATAAACAAAGATGACTGATATATATATATATATATATATATATATATATATATATATATATATATATATATATATATATATATATATATATATATATATATATATATATATATATATTCAATCGCTAATGAAATTGAATTCAAATATTTTTCATTATGATTATCTATTTTTATACATTTTTAGGTTCAGAACTATTAATTAAGACTATTATAGATATAACATCTATGAACTTCGATAAAAACGATAAGGAAAATCAGTCGTAAGTAACTAAATTTGCATATTTATACATGTTTCCTTGTGTTCACTATTAATATTGAAAAATATACTAATTAAAATTACTACTTTGTTTAACAGAAATTCCAAAGACGTCAAAGGCATCGTCAAAGTAATTTACAATGGAAAACCAATAAAATTAAGTAAATTAAATAGTGATGAAGAAAAACATTTTGATTTTGAAAGAAAGAAAATAAAAAGAAATCTTGAAACTTCGACAATTAGACTAAATAAAATTCAAAATAATGTTACCAAATCAACTCCATCAAAAGCAACAATTGACAATACAAAAAATACAAAATTTTATTTAAATAAAGTTATAGACGCATATTTTAGAAGATATATAGACAAATCTAGCTCAAAAAGTATTGAAGCTGAACATTTTTTTATTCCTAAACGCATTAAAAGACGTGCCAAAATGCAATATGAAGATAAAAACATGAGTAATAAACAAAATTCGAAAAAAAAGGCCGATAAAAAAGATGTCGATGAGCTATATGTAGAAATCGAAACACATTTTGATAGTAAAGGTATGAAAGGTGAAAAAAAGAAAAAATTAATAAAAAATTTAATTGATAAAATTCAAAAGGCCATACATTCAGATGTGAATCAGGATACCGAGAAAAAGAAAAAACATAAACATTTACATATTAAAAAAAGACTACAAAATCCATTAGATAATAAATATGAATCAATTCTCATAAACAAAGCTATTGGGCCTCTTGAAGCCATTGTACATAGACAGTTAGATCCCATTAGTAAAACTGCTCAAGCTGAAGGTATTGTATCTAAAATTTACGATAAATCTGGCAAAAGTTGGAAGAAATCTTATATAGGACCTGGATTTCTAACAAGAACTAAATCTCTGAACTCAGCCGAAATGGGGCAAGTTGATATAGACTATAATAAAGTAATGGATAGGAACGGTATCCCTCAAAGAATACAAAAACCCTTAAACACAGACGTAGATAAAGATATGTTAAATGCCAATTATTTCGATGCGGGTAATATGAAGTTTTTCATAAAAGACATAGATGGATCAGGATTCTCAATTGGCTTTAATCAATATACTGACGAAGCGCCCGATACAGAAGCTATGAAACTATTTACTGGTATAGAAGAGTTGATAAAGATTTATCACCAAAATTACGATCAAACACAGATAACAACTGAATATATTAATCAAAACGCTGATCAACATTATGATAATAAATATGAATATAGAAATAACGAACTAATTACAAGTAAAATTAATAATGAAAATAACGATAGACACAATATTGTACGGCGTTCAACTAAAAATAATTATCAGCACTCAAATGAATATAAAATAATTTTTGATGGCAACTTTCTCCCATACAGTAACTATCAAGAAATATTCGGTGACCAAAAAAGAACTATAAAGACGTCTTTTAACAAAAATTATAATGTAGAAAATCACAATGATAATCTTCAAAACATAAAAATTATGAAAAATAATAACCAAATAAAACCATCGTCCATATTACTTGACGAAGAGATAGTTGATAGAAATTTAAAACTAACTGAAATTTTAACATTAGCAAACTTGTTTGAAAGAAAAAAACGAGCCATTCTTCTCAAAAAAATATCGAATATTAAAAGCAAAATTAAATTTTTCAATACTAAAGCAATACCTAAGCGAATTATTTTAAACGCTAAAAGAAATAAACGACAAATAAATAAAATAAGAATCATAGCTCAAGACGATTCATCTAAACTGAAGCAATCAGCAGAAAATATTTTCGTTTTGTCAGATGAAAATATGCTAGCTGATAGAGCTGTTGTTACAGACGTAGAAACACCGGAAGAATTAGAAGTACCGAGTAAGGTAAAAGAACATTTAGATTATATTCCTTATATAAATGATCAAACCAATTTAGATTCTTCATATGGTGCTAACGAATTTTATGGTAAACACAGACATAACCTTTTAATGTCAAAATATCCACACATATTTATGGAAGAAATTAATAGACCTAAAGAAAATATTGAAGAACCATCATTTATTGAAAAACTTGCTGAAAATATTCCTCGAGTTACCAAATATAATACAAAAAATATAGAAGTTCAATCAATAACTGAAAATTATATCCCAACTGCATTAGAATTCCCTATGTCAAATATAGAACAACATAATACTGTCAATCCCAACGATCCGAAAACAAATTACAAATTCACAGTTAAAATTATGCCCAAAAATCAGACAGGTGTGCCTTCTACATTTAAAGAAATACATACGAGCATTAATAAAAGCTATAACAAAAATGGATTGCATTATTCTACATTAGTAAATGTATCTGAAATATCTAAAATAGAAAAATTAATAAAAAAGACGAAGGAAAATTTTTTAAATACGTCATCTGGGTTACCAGATGAAAAAGATATGAAACAAAAAGAGGAAAAAATTAAACTCATACTAAAAAAGCACAAGCAAAGAATAGATGAACAACTAGATCGTTTGCAAAAAGAAAAGGAGCATTTAGAATCTTTAATTTTTAAAAATGACAATAATTCTAGTGAATTAGTCAATCTGATATTACCACTAACTCCTCCTGAAACGGCACGTATGAGGAAAGATGATGTTAATGAGTTTGCTGCTTCTACATTTTTAAATATAAAAGATTTACAAAATGACAGTAAATCAACCACAGAAATTACAACAACAATCCTGCCTGTAACGACTACAACTACAACAATAGCAACAACAAAAGAGCCGGAGAATACTACCGTTGTCTATCCAGACAAGAACAACAATCTAACTCAAGAGATATTAAAAAAAATAGACCGAAACACAGTAATGTTACAAGTGTTCTTACAGAAATTAACTGAAAAGCTCAGTCTAGTTACTCAAGCGACTACAATAAGAACTGACAAAGAAGTGCTAAATGTTCCTAAAGATTGGAAACATTATCAACCGATTCACGAGCCTTTTTTCGGTCAAGCTATGCCAGAGATCGAAGTACGGAAAAATGGTACGCATGTCTCAATACCGTTCGTGTACGCGTACCAACAACCATTCCCAAGTGTGAATAAACCAGATGGAGCAAACCCACCGGTCGCCAGCGTGGTTTACCACGGCCACATACATACAAATGCTGTTAGCAAAAACAGAGAAACTTGGAAATCAAATTCGAGAGATGTTAATACGAGAAAATACGCGAATACAGTTGCAAATAGATCGAGATTTTTTATAGACGATTTGGATAATGAATACAAAGTTGTAGCACCAAAATCTGTGTCAAAAAACGACGGTGTTTACTCTAAGTTGCCCATACCTATAAACTTCAATAATACAATTATTTCATAAGTTGTATTAATTAAATTATATTTCTACCTACCTGCATATTTTAATATTTTTTATTTCTAATTTTATATTTATAACAATTAAATCTATCAAATTTTGTAATTTTAATCATTTTACACTGAGAATCTATATGAAATCCCATCAACTTTACTGTTCACTGCTGAACATAAGCCTTTCGGGGTTTTGCCAGTGTTACCACAATGCCAGGCGGATTGGCAACTGCAGTCAGACTTTAGATATTTTAAGGACACTACCGCCCATCTCTCGCCATCCTTTATTCGACTCTTACGACACCCACGAGAAAGAAAGGAGTGGCCTATTCTATACCGAGACCAAACGGCCATATAAGATAATTTCAGTCGACCTAAAAATTTCAAAATTCTATTGAATAATGAAAAAGATATGACAACAGGATTCAAGATGGAAGTTTAATAAAAGAACAGTTGAGCCTAAAAAGTATTTATTGACTAGCAAAATATTATGCCGTTATAGGTACATATAGTATACTCAACGAGAATGACTTAATACTACCGAAGCATTGATTTTATACCTATAGTATACTATAACTGGACAATTTTCACTAAACCTAAGTTATGTAGCTTGGAATAAGAAAAAGTAAAACATCCCCGGAGCAAAAAAGCAATTATGATATTACGACAAAAAGACTAAATTAATTTTAAAACTAAATTATTTTTACAAGGGTGTAATAGAAAATAAATTAAAATAATTCAGTCTAAAAATTAAGTTAATTATATATTATTGCGTAGCAACATTATTTAATTAAAAAACGTATTAGTTGCAAATAAATAGTTTTAAAAAGTTTTTATAATGCATTTTACGACTGAAAAGACCTGAAACTTATTAAAAAAATTTTTACAAAATGTTTTAAAAATAATAACCAAAGGTTGTCTGTAAGAGATTGCCTTAGCGATAAGACCGCCTTTTGTACCTTTATACTCGTATTTTGATCTGTACTCCATGCTACTGTATTTCAGTTGAATTATTTATATGTCATTGTTTATTTTTATGTTTTGGTGTAATAAAGAGTTAAATAAATAAATATTTTTACTGTCGTGCAAAAAGACCGCCAATTTCATGGTCAAAACACGTAATTTATTGTTTGTCCCACGCATGTCTAAAATATTTTAAATTGTCTTACATCGTATACAATATTTTGACAATTGACAAAGACAACGGTTTGTTTAATTAGAACAAGTTAATATTATTATAGTAAACAATACAATACTTTTATATAAAAAAAACCTACGTTTAAACTTGACACGTTTTAAATAACACTTTCATTTTCGTATACAATATTTGTCGTGTAAAGTGTATACATAATCCTTCCTTGTCCGGGACTAACATGCAACAGAACACCTAACAATAGTGGCATTTTATCATTCCAAGTTACAACGTTAAAATACTTTAAAAATACATTTTTATCACTACGACGGTATAATTACAGTAATATTATAAAAAAAAAAATCTTCATTATTTATTTATTTATTCACCATACATTACGTATATCCGTTGCGTCATTATCAAGCTAAATCACTGAATTTTCTTACGTAATTTACGTGTTGAATAGGTACAATATTTAAGCGCATTAATACATATAAAAATAAAGGTATAACAAGATCCTGGTTTGTATTCTTGGTGGAAAGTGGAAAGGGACCTGATGGAAAGTGGTAACCGTCGCCTACAGACATGAGCAGTATTATGGACATAACAGAGTATACTGTTTCGCCCATGATACCCCCCATGCGTTGCCATTCATAACAAATTGTATATATAGTTATAGATTTAGGTATCAAAATACCTTTTTAAATTTTTATGCCTCCACAAGTCAAGAGAGACACAACTGGAGAGATTTGATTAATTTTGCTGATGATAACTTGATACGTATATCAAAATACACGATATTTCAGGACCTAAATAATTATTATATTTTTGATAACGCAACACTGCAGTGTTTTGACAGATTTAAATATGATTTACAAATATTTTTTCGAAATATAGCCCCATTCAACACATACGCTAATCATTAAATACGCAGTCATATCACAAATCTTTAATTTTGTACATATTTCTGTATATTTAAGAGCAAGACTTGGGGAAAAGGCTTTCAATAACATTATTACATTATTAAATCGTATTATTATATTTTATATTTAGTGATAAAATTATATACATATAAATGACAAATAGAATAATAAACTCATTATAAAAAATATGTAAATTAAAAACACGTAGTATACTAGACCATTTCGTTTTAGGCAGCCATTTTATATTATGAAAGCCAACTCTATCTTCACCTTTTAGCCATCTCAAAACATGGTAACACTTTTCCCCAAATCCACATACATAATACTCGAACACGCGTCCTTCGCACTGATTAAAAAGTTTACACTTAAATTTAGAACGAAAATTACATTTTTTTTTATCTGCGTATACAATTTTGAATCGAACTGTTGTCTCTTACATGGAATCGTATATTTATGTCGTATATCGTTTTAGAAGACAAAAAGAATGCAGAGACAGGCTTTTTTTTTTTATAAAACACTTATTTTTTTTATAACGAATACTAATGTGTTTTGCTTTATACTTTATGCCTGCCTTTGCATTCTCTTTGGGAATATACCTAACGTATCTAACTACTAGTATGGCTGCACATTAAAATGAATTTTTAAAATAATTACAATGAGTATATTAAAACTTATTTATTACAATTTAAATAAATACAACTCTTGTCTATGGACGGTATTATAGTTTTTTTCGTGGTAGAAAATATTCTTATACTATTTCTTTATGGTTCAGTCAGCAGAAAGGAATAAAAATTAAAAAGAAAATTATTTTTATTCACAACCGGCGTAAAAATTGACGAACTCGCTTTATGGAATAATTATTAAAATAATACAATATAACCACGAGAATAATTACTGTTATATATATGTCATATAGTATATAGTTTTATGAGATTATTTATTATAGATATAGTGAGCATTCAAATCCATAATTTTTATCGTCATTTTATAAAGAAAAAAAAACATGTCACATAAGGTCATGTCACTTTCTTGAGCTAATGTACTGCCGCCATGTTTAAATTGTGAGTCCAAGCTTATTTTTTTTTTAGAAATCGGTCTAAGGAGCATTGCCAATTTTGACCGAACTTTGAAGATTCATTTGGCATTATCTTAAATTATAATTATATATATTTTATATATATTATCAATTAATGTAACATGACAGTACCACATTCCCTCAAGATAGTAACTTGAAACGTTTTATAAATCAACTATTTTGTTTATTTACATTTGCTTCTATTTATTTTCTATTTGACAGCTTTAGTGATGTATTTTTTAATGGTTTAATTGTGTACTATAAATATTGAAATTATAATAAAAACCGCATTATAATTGTAATAATATTAAATTAAACTGAATGTATTTATGTATTATAAAATAAATAAATAAAATAAAAGATCATTTACGTAATCTATATGATAATTTACCTGAATTATTTCGACGTTTCGACCAAGGAGTCTACCATGAAATGAAATTCCGAATTTTCGAACTCAATTTCATATTTTTGTTCCTATCGAAATCGGTCCAGTAAATGAATAAAGAAAGATAAACATTTCGTTCGTCATAAATCCTACCATAAAATACTAAGGGAACGATATTTTAACATTTTTAATATTTTTAAACGATATGTATCATGTAATTTTAACATGAATTTTTTTGTTTCGAGCCCAAAATTTCGGAAATTTTTTCTCGGTAGATCCTAAATTTACATCGGCTGTGGTCACGAGTAGACGCTGTTATGTCGAAACATCAAGATAAATCAGGTAAATTATCATTGTTCACCTAAATAAAAGCGTTAATTAGAGATGATGCATATAACGTGTGTGGATGTGAGTGTATGTATGTACAAATATGTCAAATAGAATATAAAATAAAGTCTTCTAGTATATAGTAACTTTACACTGATACTGTCACAAAATTCTAACTGCCATAAACGAAAATATGAACACACAAATGAATCGATCATATCCTTATGGATATATCCATATCTACAAACAGTCGGCGAGTCGAAAGAAAAAAACATCTTGAATTAAAACAATTTGGCATATAATTAGTTTAGTTTTAAGTAAATATACTAAAAACTAAATTACTTTTTTTTATTGATTGAGAAATACGAATTTATAACCAGTTAGTTAAAATAGTGAGGTACAGTTTACGTATACTCGGTTCTATTAGACTGAATAGTGACTACTAATTTTTTTTTTAATCCCATACTTTTTAAACACAATTATCTTCATGTTTTGGCCTTTTCTATATTTGGCTGAGTATTGTTAACCGTCTAACAGTAATCAGCTTTCTTTTATTTCTAAAATAATAAACAGTAATCGAAAATAATTAATATAAATTGTTTTTTTTATTCAACTCTTTAGAACAAGGCAAAGGGACCTTAAAATTTTTTAACAGATTCCTTTTTTTGGCATCGTCTTTTAAGCATAAAATCAGTCTAAAGACATTCACGTTAAAAGTCTGAATAAAAAAAAAAACAAAGTTTACTTAATTTTCGACAAAAAATCAAAAAGAAAATTATGAGCACCTTGAATTTAATTAAAAACAATAAATCAGCAGTTACTATTCAGTTGCTTCTATATAACTACAACTACTCTATGGTATACTGATATTATTATTACTGTCTTTTTTTTTTAATAAAAAATAATTTTGTGACAGCTGTCGTGAAATACTTCTCTTTAATACTTGCTTTTTTAGAATATATCGTAACTTTTATCATGTTATTTGGCATTTTTCACTTAAGGCTGCATTTTATAAAAGGAATCCCTTTGGATTGAAAATTTGAATTGTGGTTCTTTTTCTAGAACAAACAAATTTTAGTTGACCTTCAAAAGAGAGCCTAATTTTAAAGGGAATTAGGTACAATTTGCTTAGTCCAAACGCACGTTATTGTATTTATAATTATGTATGTTAATATATGATTTGAAACTTTATTGCTATTTATAAAGTGATTTTTAACCATATTTTATGAGTGTGCTTCAGATGACATGTGTGATTTGATAAAATTTATTTATAACATTTTCCCGGTGCCAAATAAATAAATTATATTAAAAAAAATAGCCGTTATTAAACTTACTGATATTAAAATGTGTTTTTTACGTTTGTTAAATTTTGGCGCCTTCATCGCTCAATCAATTATTATAAAATTTTACCAATTGTCATCCTGACAGATAAACATATCTCATGCGAATGGAGTGGAAACCAAAAACTAGTCTTTTAATTTGAATTTTAAAAAATTATAATTCATATATTTATGTCTGATAATTTTATTAATATTAATAATAGTCATTCTTAGTCGGTATATTTTCTTTTATTTTAAAATTTCTAACTGTTTAAATATGTTATTTCCTTCAGTATATTTGATAAATTGCAAACTTGTACAAACAATGCTATGATCGTATATGTACCTATTCCTCAGATATTTCAGAGCCGATTTCCAGGATTCATTTTAATAACAAAAAATTCTTTCGGGATGATTCCATGCTATTTGATAAAATTTAAAGATTGATTAGTGAAAAAAAAAAAAATTAAAACAATACTTAGCCATAAATAATTATCATTTCCGCGTTATTCCAAAACAATAGAGGCCCATCGAGAATCGAAAATTACTTTTTATTTGTATATCAGCTTGTAAGAAATTAAACTTTGTCATCATGTCTCTATATTCAATCAAGGAACCAATAACTGGCACAATAGGCCGCCATTTTATTAACAATAGTTATACAAAATGGCCGCCCACATATTTTAAATAATAACGGCTATTTTGTATATAAATAAGTATTATTTTTTACTAGTTTCGATTCAGATAAAATATACAATGTCTGGATTCGTAAATATAATACAGAAATATTGGCGGGAAATTACCGCATTCCTCTTGTATGTGCAGAATATCTTAGGTGGCCATTTTGTAAATAAGAAAATTTATTGTTTATATACTTATTACTGCATAGTTTGCTGTATTGGCGGGAAATTGCTGTGTTCGCTTGAATGTTCTTCCGTCTGTGACTCGTGCTCGTCAGCGGATTGCTCACCTTCTTGATCTTCATCTTCGGATGATGACAGAAGACCTGAGGATTAAATATTACATATAAAGTTCACAGGTTAAACTTGAAATTGTTTAAAGGGATTGTTCTGCTAATGATACTAAACATTTTCTCTTGTAGTAAGTGTGGAAAATAACAAAAAATATGACCATTTTTTTCGTTTATGGATGAAAATAGAATGATGCACCACTAATGCTAATGGTATATATACAATGGCGTGACGAAGCAATACAGTGGAATATAAAACGCGGACTACGATAGACGTCCAAGGAGGACCGCGTGGAGATTGACTCGAGAGTACAATGCCTGGGATTAATGTTTTCATCACTAATACACCCCCCGTCCACTACCACCAATGCTGACACCTTAATATGATTAAGGGTATTACCGCTTCGTATTGAGTCGACGCGCCGAGCTGTCAATTCAGTACGAGAGCCTCAAAACTATGTTGCTAGCTATGGAGCAGTTAAACCCCATTATTTACAGTCCCCCCAACCCAAATTATATTTTTTTAATGGATGATAATAAAATACCAATCCCGACCGCTCAAACAGTATACAATAGCGGGGCGCCAGTGAGGACAGCTGAGAATGAAGAGGCAGGTAAGTTAACCCATCGTAACGAACACACCTGGGATTCAGCACGATGGTTTCCACGGGGGACCACGTGGAGGTCAACTTGATAAATTTGCTAGCATGGGGCTGGTAGCCCGCATTACTAACAATCTCGTCCCCCCACCAAAGTTATATTAGTAAGAGATACCATAGACGTAATGCATATCCATGAGCTGGTCATTTCTATAGCCGACGTTTACCACTTATCACCAGATGGGTTATTAATTTGCCACTGCAATCGCATAAAAATGTATTCAATATCAAATAAATAAATATAAAGCATAAAATGTCAAGTACCTGCTGTAAACTGTGGGTTGGAGAGTGCGTCGGGCCAGTACCTCTTGCTTATAGATGAACCATTTTTACTCTTCTTTCCACCTGATAACAAAAAAAAGCTAATTAAATGTTTGACTCTTCAAGTTATATCAGGAACTTTATAATCGCTTAGCAACTAGAGGGTTTTTCACTAAATATTATGAAAAGGACTTTTTTTTTCTAAATATATAAAAAAATACTACCAAAATATACTAATATATTTTGCACCTTATGGGAAAGGAAGGGGTGGCTATTTTATGTTGGGACCACACGGGACACTGTAAGACTATGGCGTGATGATGACTTCACCTGGCTTGTCAGCGCAGTCGAGCATCGGCTGCAGGATGCGGCGGCGCGCGTTTATGAACCAGTTGTTGACCTGCAAGAGCGTCAGCCGCGTCTGCGCCGCCAGGGTGCGCTTCTCCTCCTCAGTTGGGTACGGGTGCTGAGAAAGAAAGGTTGAGTAGTCAGTAATGAATACAGCTGTTGCTTTGTATTATACAATATTGAACATTTTTAGTCATTAAAAATAAAAAGTCATTAAAAGTAAAATGCTGAATATTTTTTTTATTTAATAATATTATTTTAAATTAGGTTGGGCTAAAAATATGTTTAATACCCAGACGGTAACCACACCTTAAATAATGAATTATATTAGATGTAATAACGACTGAGTATTCATTATATATATTTTCTCAAACATGCTTGGAAATGTGAGTATTATTTTGACAATCTTCTTCGAAATAAATCAAAATTGCCATACTGGCCAGATACATGTGGGCAGTGGTCGGCAAAAGTTGTATGAAAATCCATATCTGTCGTGTTTTGCGGCCAGATAAATTAATATGTAAACTCATATCTGTCCTGTAATTTAAAAATAGAATGACCTTTTACTTCGAAACATGGCTACCAAGGAGGTAACTAATAAAAGGTTTTATTTAAATTTCAAACTGGCTTGCAAATAGAAAGCTGTTTATTGAAAAAAGAAAACAAAGGAACATTATGGCGCGTGAAAAATTATTATTGTTCGTTATTCGTCATTGAACTTAAAAAGTAAAATTGTGTTTTTGATTTCCGCGCATTGTTTGAGAAAAGTACTATACAAGCCTTGGCCACAACTAGGTATTGATAGACTCACGTATGTGTGCCTCGACTACGCCTCGGCCCACATTTGCACGTTCGTCCATCAACGCCTAAGTTGCTGGCCACTGCAGTAATGTACTATAACATATTTTTAGTATAATATAAAAAAAATACTTGCGGCCAACAGCTTTTCTCTCGTATGTGGGGATAAATAAACTATGCATTACTTGCGTGGTGTCGGCGAGGGTATGTACGTACAGACAGGCGTGGTACTCACGACCAGGTGCTGGAACAGCCAGGCGCGCATGACCTGCGTGGCGTGTCGCGGCAGCACGCCGCGCTTGCCGCCCGCCTCGTCGCACTCGTCCTCGGGCGGCGGCGAGCCAGACACAGACGAACACGAGTTGTTCGAGTTTGTGCCTGTTTACAATTAAATTTATATCAATATTTGTAATAAACAAATCTCTTTTAAATGACATTTGCATAAGATAACTGCCAGTTTGCATGCAAAAGCTTTAAAGTACTCAGCAAGCTATTTATTTATTTAAACTTTAATGCACAGTAAAATTCTATGTACATTTGACAGACTTAACACCGAACGGTGTTCTCTACCAGTCAACCATTGGGAAAACAGAGAAATACGTAGGCGGTGCATTTTTGAATAGAGGAAAAATAAAACAACACTTGTTAAATTCATACATACAATATATTAATAAATACATACATACAATAAGCATATACATACATAAAATATTACTATATAAAACAATTAAATAAAACAACTGCAATAGAAGAGCAAATAGTAATGTATGACTCAAACAGAGTAACCAGCAGGAGAAGAAGCAAAGGGAAAGTGATTTTTCTAAGAAATAGGTATGGTATGGTGAGGTATAGGTATGGCATAGTATAATATAGCCATGGTGAGGACAATGCTTAGAGTTTCTTTGCATGACAGAATCCGAAATGAAGATATCCGCAAAGGAACCAAAGTCACTGACATAGCCCGAAGGATAACCAAGCTAAAGTGGCAATGGGCTGGTCACATAGCTCGAAAAATCGACAACCGATAGAGAAGAAAATTCGGTTTTTCCAAAGGTCGTTCAACTACAGACGCAGGTGCAGAGTTGCTTAGACACGTATTTGCTGCATGGGAAACTAAAATGGATGTGATAGGTGTTTTTTGTGACCTTTCTAAGGCTTTTGATTGCGTTGATCATAATACATTGCTAAAAAAACTTGCTTTTTATGGCGTCAAAGACAATGCTTTAAATTTAATAAAATCTTATCTATCTGATAGAATACAGAAAGTGAAGATTAGCAACGCTACGTCTGACGGGTCACTTGTGCAAATGGGTGTACCTCAAGGATCTATTCTCGGTCCATTTTTATTCCTAGTTTACATTAATGATCTCCCATATGCCATGCAGGATAGATGCGGCATAGTATTGTTTGCAGACGATACTTCATTGATTTTTAAAGTTAATAGAATGACTAATAATTATGACGATGTAAATAGTGCTTTGCGGCGTCTCCTGCACTGGTTTACAACTAACAATCTTATGTTAAACGCTAAAAAAACAAAATGTGTTAATTTCTCTCTATCTAAAAGTTTTAATACTAATTGCAATATTAAATTAAATGACGAATCTCTCGAATTTATAGAATCTACTGTCTTTCTAGGAATCACACTAGATAATAAAACACAATGGGGTGCACAAATTCAAAGCCTTGCAGCGAAACTAAGTTCAGCAGCTTTTGCCGTGCGTAAAGTTAGACAGTACACTGATACTGATACTGCTAGATTAGTCTATTTTAGTTATTTTCATAGTTTACTCTCTTATGGAATATTACTATGGGGAAAAGCGGCAGATATTAAGAATATATTCATATTACAAAAACGTGCCGTTCGAGCGATCTACTGTATGAAGAGTCGTGACTCATTAAGAGAGAAATTCAAAGAGGCAAATATTCTCACCGTTGCTTCTCAATTTATATATTCAAATATTCTATATGTTCATAAAAATCTTGACTTATTTCCAAAAAACAGCAATATTCATAATATTAATACTAGATTTAAAGACAAACTTGCTGTCCCCAAGTATCGTTTAGAAAAAGTTAATAGGTCTTTTATGGGAATAGGTATAAAAATTTACAATAAGATACCAAAGGATATGTTGGAATTACCCTTAAATAAATTCAAAACATCTGTTAAATCATATTTACTGAGCAAAGCCTATTACTCACTAAACGATTACTTGAATGACGAGTGTGCATGGCAATAGTTGTTCATGCACTGAATTTTCATTTAATGTTAGACATAGACACCTATATAAATATACATTGTAAATAAACTGGCTTTAAAAAAAAAGTAATTCAATTGAGTTTCTTGCCAGTTCTTCTCAATTGGATCTATATACCGAACTGGACGGTAGGGTAAATATAAAATTATAATGTACAAATTTGACGTTCATAAGCGGCTAAAATGTCCTACATGAATAAATGATTTTTGAATTTGAATTTGAATTTGAAAGTTTCTTGAGTGACGACCGCCATTAGATGGAGTGACGACCTCAAATGCATTGCAGAGTCAGTGGATGCAGGTGGCTCAGGGCCGTTCTTTATGGCAGTTTATTGGGGGGTATAGGGGGGCCGTGATAATGGCTAAGATGATGATGATGATGGTGATTCAGAGTTTAGGTGAAAAAAATAATACAATTATACTATGGTACTCACCAGTGAAGGAGTCAGTGGACAGCAAACCAGCACCTATTTGACTGATCGGCGTCGAACCTTGAACAACCAACGATGCTGGAATTATAACAAATAATTTAATTATAAACAAATCATAGATCTAATCCTAGGATCACGAATTGATTCTCCGAAACTAGTCGAGCTTTTTCGATCTAATTACACCTAAATTATACTGGTAGTTATTACATTAAGATCCTGATTAAATTATTTATTATTTATTTCTTTCTTTATTGCACCATAAACAAAAATATACAATGACAAGTGAATAATTCAAGTGATATACAGTAACATAAATACAGATTGAAATATACACGTAAAGGTACAAAAGGCGGTCTTACTGCTAGGGCAATCTCCTACAGACAACCTTTGGTTAAAGGAGAACAGATAGAAGTGGATAGATGGCGCAAGAGTGAATTAATAATTCTTTGTGCATAATATACAAAAACCTGTAATGCACAAAAACATCAAATAAATATAATTTATTAAACTACTTACTATAATAATATACATAAACATATACATATAAATACATACATAGCACACACAAGGAAATATGACAAATCTAGTCAAAAAATTACAGAGGATTAATCCACAAAAAGATTTCCCACCAGGTGGCAAATTTCCAATATCTTTGAACATAAATAAGGCGTAAGCGCCATCTAGCAGCATGTTACATAAATCATCGATGATAATAATTTCCTTTAGGTCGAGTTGACGTTTAAAAAAATTGCAAAATATTAATTTCTGGTGAATTCATCACGATGTACTAACTGATCTAATTTCATCCTCACCTATCATCTCTTAGCTTGGTAACATATACCAATAGTACAGGTGGAGGGAAGAAATGGATTGTTAGTAATGGAGATTGAGAATCCCATTGCTAGCAATATACCCAACCAGGTCAACCTCCTCGCGGTTTCCCCTGGAAACTATCATGGTGAATTCCTGATAAATTCATCATGATGGGCTAACTGGCCTGTTTTCATTCTCACCTATCACCCTTCACTGGTGCTCCGCCAGCGTATCCCGTTAGCGCAGGCGGGGTTACCATATCATTTTCACCCACCAAAAAAAAAATTTACAGGTGTAGATATGATCAACTTCAATGACAAAAAAGTGTGTATTCACCCTGATCCCGTATAGAGGGCGGCGCGGGCGCCGGGTAGGGCAGGTCCCCGTGCGGGAACACCGCGCCCGCGAACGGCGCCGGGGGGGCTCCCGTCGCCGCCGTTGGCTGCAACAAAACGATCACTCTTGTACCACCATTGTCTTCTGTTTTCACCCCACAATTTTATCGGTACTTTAGGGGTAACTTCTTTTTTATTTACTTATCGAAACAAATTTTTGATATGAGTACAGTTAAAAATATGTTTATTTTCGTGTCTCAATATAGAAAATATCGTGTCACGACACTCGTTAACGTTTTAAATTCATTGTAATTAAATTTAGTATAATTAATTTTAAACCTAACATAGAAAGAATAAAACATTGTCAATTCATAGTGGAGTAGTGTACAGAAAATGTTATGCAGCCGTATAACCCTACCAAATGGAGGGAAAAAGATTGTTAGTAATGGAGACTGAGAATCCCATTGCTAGCAATATATGGTACCCAACCAGGTCGACCTCTTCGCGGTTCCCCCTGGAAACTATCATGGTTAATTCTTGATGAATTCATCATGATGGGCCAACTGGCCTGTTTTCATTCTCATCTATCATCTATCACTGGTGCTCCGCCAGCGTATCCCGTTAGCGCAGGCGGGTTACCATTCCATTTCACATTAAAAAAAAAGTTTATTTTCGTGTCTCAATATATAATAAAAATTTCACTCGTTCATCATTGTAATTAAGTTGAATATAATTAAAAACAAAAACCCTACCAAATTCAGACACAACCTGCTTGAATACTTTCTGTGTCGAATATTTAATTAAGTAATATAAAATTTGTCATTGACAAATAATTGACATATCAAACATTTTCTATACACTAGCCTGATATGAATTGAGAAAAATGGCAACTGATGTTGTATCTTTCGTCTTCTTTTTACTAATTATATATTTGCATAAGAAGAAAGGAGGCAACCATATGATTCACAGTTTATTTTATCATTCCTTCTATTTAATCCCTTGTTATTAGTTTTAAACTTTCGCTTTATTGACACAGTTTAAAATACACTATCAGAAGTTAACGGAACAAAAAAATTTTGTAGGTATTTACCTACCTACATATTAAGTACCTACATGAAAACCCTGGCGGAGAACTCATTCCATAACCTGAGTGTTTGTAGGAGAAAATATCTCATTTAGCCAGTAGTTGCCACGCTTGACAAGTAGATTGACAACCAGAGTTAGGCTTCGGTGACATTTTAAGAGAGACGCTGCTGCCAATCTCTCGAGCATTAAATTCCCTTAGTTGCCTCTTACGACACCCACGGGAAAGGAAGGGGTGGTCCTATCTACGCCGGGACCATACAGAGAACTCTAGGTCGAAAAGATATAATATTGAATGTAACATACATTTCATACCTGATATTGTGGTGAGTTGGAGGTGCTGGAGTGGTCCTCCAGCGACCCGGACAAGTTGTTGTTACTCTCCACGCCGCCTGCAAGTGAACGACAAATTATATGACATTAGAAACTAACAATTGAAGCTTTTATTGTACATAAAATGAAGCTATTATCACAGTATAAGTAGTACTACAGTTGTTTGCTTGGGCACCTCTGTCCCATTCGTGTTTCTACCGTCAAGCAGTTGTTTGCGCTTGAAGTTTGTGTTTCCGTTTGAAGGCTTGGATATGGCAGCAAATTTATAGGGTACAGAGGAACACTATTTTAATTTAATTAACGTAAATTTGACAATTAGCTGATGAAAAGTTTACCTGTTCTTGAAGCTCGATGCTCTATCTATATAATCTATGTATATATCTCGTACTGTTTAGATACCTTCTATCCTCACCTACCATGTTTCCGTGGTACCTGCCAGCGTATACCGATAGCGCAGGCGGGGTTACCATTCCCTATTTTACCCAGTAAAAAAGATCCCACCAGGTTGGCAAAAAATATTCATTTCAAAAGGGGGGTAAAGAGGTTTCTTTAGGATCGGCAACGCTCGCGTAATACCTCTGGTATTGCACGTGTTCATAGGCAACGGCAACCACTTGCCATCAGGTGGGCCGTATGCTTGTTTGCCACCTTAGTGGTATATGTATATATATGATAAAGTTTACCTCCTGTGTAGTCAGTCCGTAGCAGATTCTCACTCTGCATCTTTGTTTTGAGGCAGGCGATGTACCGACCGCAGAAGTCGCGGCATAGTTCTTGCACTTTCTCTAACTCTAGAAGGTGGATCCTGAGCACCTGGAAATAGAATGTAGAAATTTGTTCATTGTGAAAATTGTATAAATGGAACAATCTCGAATGGAATATTCCCTAGATGGAAGTAACGAAATATATAAAACTAGCGGCTTGCGTCGACTACGCACAAGTTATTCGAGATATATATGTTATTCGAGAATAATATAGTGATAAAAGGCTGGAAAGAAGCTATATAATATATTTGAAAAAAGAAAAAGTATTATTTGATTTTTTTTTATACCATTCTTGTATCTCTTGATGTAATGTTTAATAAATATACATTTAATACGTAAATAAATATTTCTCACACATGCTTGGAAATGTGAGCATTATTTTGACAATCTTCTTAGAGATAATTCAAAATTGCCGTACTGGCCAAGATACATGCGGGCAGCGGCCGGCAAAAGTTGTATGAAAATCCATATCTGTCGTGTTTTGCGGAGCTAATAATGCATTAATACCTTACTAATGACATTTGTTATTTTTTTAATTTTTGGAGAAAACTATTATTGATTATTTTATTACTACATACTTTTCAGGTTTCTATATTAAAATCTAATATATAAAACTCTCGTGTCGCGGTGTTTGTTACCAAACTCCTCCGAAACAGCTTTACCAATTTTTATGGCTAATATATGGCTTTATACGGCTAACGTCTATTTTTCATACCCCTTAGGGATAAAGGCGACCTACCTCTTTTTTTTTTGACATTTTTTTTTATATTTATTTTATAATTTGATTTTACATCGAAAATACATTTAAATACAAATTTTAACGCTTTTACGATCAACGCCTGTTTTTCAATAGCGATTTTTATATGCCTCAATAGGGTTGCAAGATGGCGATCGAATATAATAATTGTAGTACGATACATTTTCATGTATAGTTCATGAAATAATGTATATGGTAAAACGACGTTTGCCGAGTCAACTAGTTATTTTATAATATCTTCTTATGACTTATAGAAAATATTTAACACAATGTAATATTGTTACGTATAAATTGAATTGAAAATTAAAAAAAATGCAATTAAAGATTGTTGAAACTTGATTGAAGAAACTTTACAATTAAAGATTTTGTGTCACAAATAAAAACCGACTTCGATTGAATAATAAAAAAAAAAAAATATTTTTATTCAAGAAAGATACAGTTGCATAAGGTACAATTTTCAATTTTTACAATTTATATTCAACGAGGAAATATCTGCATTACCATCAGTCCCCAAACTGGGCCACACCTGTATCTTGGGGACTATAAAATTTTGGGATTGTGAAAAAACCAGTTATTTTGATCTACCTGAATGCTCTTAATCATGAGTCCGTCTATCTCAGGATCGTCGACCAGGAAGGGCCTACGGTCGCGGCGCTGGTGCTGCACGAAGGCCTGCAGGTCGGCGCCGAACGCGTCCGCCGCGGGGGGCTCCGCGCCAGCAGTCGCCTGCTCGCATCTCTCGAGCAGTAGCGCCAACAGTGGGAATAAGGGGTGCCTGTAATTTTTTTTTATATAATTTAGAATGGCAAACAAACTGACGGCCAAGCTTAAGGATAATATCTAGTAATATCTTTTACCAGAGGGAGACTTTGTAGAAAAGTCGATTGCATGGGTACCTCTGTCCCATTCGTGTTTCAACCGTGAAGAAGTTGTGTTTGCATAGCTGTATTTCGGTTTGAAGGGTGGGATATGGCGTGAATATACAGGGTACAGAGGAATAACATCTGAGTCCTCAGGAATGGCAACGCATGGGGGGGTATCATGGGCGAAAGAGTATACTCTGTTATGTCCATGGTACTGCTCATGTCTATAGGCGACGGTTACCACTTTCCATCAGGTGGGCCGTCAGCTTGTTTGCCATTCTAAGTTGTATAAAAAAAAATCTATATATTTCAGATACAATATCTATACATATATTGGCTGTTCAGCTCCTTGCTGGTCGCTGGTTTTATTGCAGTTAAATCATGCAGGAACTTGTATCGGAAGAATAAAATAAAAATTAAAATGCCGTGTACAGACGTGCATGTATATTGAATAAAACGACAGAGAAGAACAAAAGAAACATTTTATAAAACAAAAGAAACACAAAAAAGCATTTTACAATTATAATATAGTTTGCATTATAGTATTTTTGTTCGTATTGAACATTGGCCCAACTTTAGATATCGGTTATTCAATATACAATATTGAAAAGAAGAATCCGCTGGTAATAAATATAGATGTCGGACTGGTATGGGTGATATCGCAATGGGTGGTCATTATCGTCCAAAAGAATTTAATATATAACATGTATAAAGCTAGTAGTAAACATAATACTAGACCGAAAATGATGGTTTTTGAAGAAGAAGAAGAAGACACTCACAGCATCCGCTGATCCAGTTCCTTTTGCCTAATATGATACACTGGGAGGAAAGGGATTGTTAGCGATAGGGTCTAACAGCCCCATTGCCAGCAATATTACTAATCAGGTCGACCTCCACGTGGTCCCCCCTAGAAACCATCGTGGTTACTGCTCTTGGAATTCTTCAGGATGGGCTAACTGACCTGGTGGTCTACCATGAAATGAAATTCGAAATTATCGGGCTTAATTTCGTGTTTTTGTTCGCACCGAAATCGACCCAGTAAATGGAGCTTAATATTTCGTTCATCATAAATCCTATCCTAATAGTCCAGAGGAACGATATTTTAACATTTTTAATAATTATAAACGGCATGTATTATGTAAATTTAACATTAAATTTCTGTTTCAGTCGTTCCCGAAATTTCGGAAACTATTTCATGGTAGGCCCTCTGTTTTCATCCTCATTAATCATCTCTCACTGGTGCCCCGCCAGCGTATACCGTTAGCGCAGGTCATTATCACTCTTTAAAAAAACATGAGACACCCTTATATATGTAATATTTTTGTATTTCCATTGAACTTGTGTTTTTCTGGCAATAAATATTTTCTATTCTATTCTATCTAATAGTACAGGCCGGGAGGACCATTCCGTCTAGATCTATTAAAAAAAAAAAAGCTAACGCGACGCTCTTACTTGTAGACGGCTCGCTTGTCGGCCTCGAATTGCGCCTGGTCGGCATCGGCTGCGGGCGCGGCCCCGCCTTGCATACCGACGCAATCACCAACTTCGACGCCTCATCTGAAACAAACAGACAATTGGGTGACAATTCAAGCATATTCCAACCCTGAACAAGCGGGGGAAAGGGATTGTTAGTAATGGAGACTGAGAATCCCATTGCTAGCAATATACCCAACTAGGTCGACTTCCTTGCGGTTCTCCCTGGAAATTATCATGGTTAATTCCTGGTGAATTCATCATGATGGGCTAACTAGCCTATTTTCATTCTCATCTGCTTCCCTTCACTGATGCTCCGCCAGCGTATCCCGTTAGCGAAGGCTACCATTCCATTTTCACCCATCAAAAAAAATTGAGACACTGGGAGGGAAAGGGATTGTGAATAATGCTAGCAATACACCTTATCAGGTCAACCTCCACACGGTTCCCTTGGAAACCATCGTGGTTAATTCTAGTGGAATTCGTCACGATGGGCTACCTGGCCTGCTTTCATCCTCATTGGTGCTCCGCCAGCGTATACCGATAGCGCAGGCGGGGTTACCATTCCATTATCATACATTAAAAAAAAACCCTGTACAAGCGGAGGGAATGGAAAAAATGTTAAGTGGAGAAAACCGCAACGCATTAGTGATAAGCGCATTTAAATCGGTTAAGCCATTTTTAAGATTAGCGTGCACGAACGTACTGACAAACAGTCAAAACTTCTAAAAAACATTATTTTGGGTTCTATAAACTAAATATAATCGATTATACTGCGTTCGTAAAGCCCCCTGTTTTTCTTATATATCTTCCATGTACAGACAGCAACCAGTTACGATTTTATTATAAGTATTGATTGATTAAAAACAATTGTAATTTAAATAACATAAAATTGTGTCGTAATTTTTTTTCGCTATATATATATATATATATATATATATATATATATATATATATATATATATATATATATATATAACAAATAACACATTTGTGATTTGTTATTCTTTTTCTGGTGCCCACGATACAGGTTCGCCTAGTGTGGGGCCCATTGTATCTTGTGTTTGTAACTTTTATATATATATATATATATATATATATATATATATATATATATATATATATATAAAATATATTTGCATGCCTACATCGCATAAGGCAGTTAAACTGGTGCCAAACTTAACACGACGTGACCTTTGTTAATAATTGTGACTGTTTAATACAAATAAATTCATTTCATTTCATAAAATTACAGTCCATTTAGGCTCAAATACATTCAACATTTTTTTTTTTATATTTAATACATTTCATAATTACCTCACACATATTTATAAATCATATACCGAGCCACCTGGCTACTGTAGAAATAACAATATTTCTTCTCCAAACAAGAGAGACACGTACCGTGTAATGGGGCATTAAAGTAACATATTATTACGGCAAGTTTAAATAACAATATTTATATTATAGCTCACGACAATCCAATAAACACTAAAACTTGTGCAAAACAAGCGAAATCACCGCGAAACAAGGGTAAATAACTTGGCAACACAGTCATAACTCGCGCACAACTCCGAGGGGCAATAAAAAGAGATATTAAAAGCCAAACGCGCCGAGAAAGGGCATTCATCACAAGTGTTGCCAGTAGATTGATATAAGATACCCTGTTTCCTTTGGTTCACTAGCATTTAAGGTTTTTATGTTCGAATTAATTTTGTGTGTGATGCATTTAAAAGAGGGCTAATGTGGGGAACAGATGTTTTGAGATAGGCCGTTTGGATCCGTGGCAATTGAATATTACGTTTTCAAACGACTTTAAAACGAAGGACGTTCTCATTTCTCCTTGTTTTTTTTTTTACGCATATCAGTTTTGTGGAACGAAATCAAAAATTATTAAAAAACTAGTTTTTTCAGAAGTGATTTCAAAAGTGAGGAAACGCATGAAATAATCACTTCTAGATGTCGTATCAAGATAAAGCATACACCAATTTATAAGTTACACCTTCTGGGATCCGAGTGTAAAAATGGCAAACAATTTGATACAATAGTTATTGCGTGATAACGGAACAAAGCTACAGACAGACAAATTTTCTAAATAATATTATTTTGGTATTTATTAATTTTGTTAAAAAACCTCACATTTTTTTTTAATATCATCCACGTACAGTCATCCCCTAAATACAATTTCATTATATTATGATAATAGTAAGGTAAGTTACGTGACATTTTCGCTAATTGTGAACCGATTTTGATGATTCTTATTTTACTCGACAATTTATTCTTTTACTCCTATGTTATTCCCATATTAAGTGAACTCTATCTCTGTGAAACAACTGCTCGAATTAATCAGATCCGATAGAACATTATCACTGTAACGGTTCTCACAGAGACACCACAGTGCCACTAGGTGTAAACACACTGGCAACAAAAACGCGCTGCCAACAAAGAAATTCGAAATTCGAAACGGGAAAATACTTTTTTTTTCCTCGTCCGGCTAAATCGTGCGGGAGTAATTACGCACTGATTATCTTATAACAAAAGGAAAGCAAACAATTTCCTTATTTGTATTCACTTAATAAGGTGCACGGGTTATTATTTTTAACCGACTTCATAGAATGAGAAGAGTAGGTATACGGTCAGCGCCACAGATATCAAAATACAAATAATATAGTATATATTATTTGTATTTTGATATCTGTGGTGCAGGTATCTTCTTTTTAACCGACTTCAATAAAATGGAGATTCTCATCTCGTTTGTTTTATTTCATTTTTTTTTATACAACTTAGAATGGCAAACAAGCTGACGGCCCACCTGATGGAAAGTGGTAACCGTCGCCTATACATATGAACAGTACCATGGATATAACAGAGTATACTGTTTCGCCCATGATACCCCCCATGCGTTACCATTCCTGAGGAATCAGGTGTTATTCCTCTGTACCCAGTTAATTCACGCCATATCCCACCCTTCAAACCGAAACACAGCCATGCAAACACAATTGCTTCACGGAAGAAACACGAATGGGACAGAGGTACCCAAGCAATCGACTTTTGTACAACATCTCCCTCTGGTAATCTAGATGGTAGGTACATCTAGATGGGAGCATCGAGTGTCAAAAAATATTAAACCAACTGCAGACTGACGCATTATTTTTACATTGTACAGAAGTATGAATATATAGTATTACAATAAAAATAAATAAAGTTACAGTATGTTTCATAAAAATCGCGAATTAAAAGATTAATAAACTTTTGTTACTTCCAAAAAGGCCGCTAATTTAAAAAAAACGGGCCTTTTTTTTAAACATTTCTGAGAAGACAAAAGTAAAAAAAAAACTGACTAAATATTATACAAAGTGAAAATAAACTGAGGAAACCTTTTAAGAGAATGTTCTATGAATGTTTTTCTCCCAAATTTTTAAACATTCCGATTATATTTTGTGAATTTAAAAAAGTAACACATAAAATATATCCATTTGGCAACCACCTCATTTTTTAAGTCCGTTGATAAATGTTACCTCTTCGTACAGTTTTCAAAAAACCTGACTACTTAGTATTTCAAGCTTACAATACTTTTTAGTCACAGTGACATCATCAGACACAAAATTAAGACTAACTCTGTTAACAGAATACAAATGTATGATGACTCGCCTTTCCAAAATAGGTGCCGAATTCGCATAATTATAGACAAAAAGAAATATAAAAAGCAGTACAAGGCTGAGCACACCCGTGTATTAATAGGTTCGTACAATATCGATAATTTAATCCTGAATAAAGACTAATACGATAACATATTATTACCTTTTTTCGACTTCCAAAAGTAGAATCTTCTCAACTTATCTAATTATTGTTTATGAAACTGGCAATGTACAGTTTTGAATCGATTTTTACAAATCGAATGAGTTGATCTCGTCTTGATACCATGTTGATTTTGTGATGTATAAATCTGCTGTTTTTATTTGAAAATCATAATTGACTAAATACCAATATTAAATAAACCATTTTAAGACAGGATTTTAAGAGAACAAAAAATTAATATTCCCGCCAACACGCAGTATTACCAACATAATAAAACAAACTACGTTTCAATAAATCGCGCAGCAACTTTTCAGCGCTCCGCGTGTCTATGGGTACGTGTATTGTAAATATTCAAAATTCGAACGCGCAGGCCGGATCGAACGCGGGTCGCATTCAAATGGCCGTCTTATCTGCGTTTACCGCGATATAGTGCTGTTGTATTTGTCGATGAGGGTTTACTTTTTACTTCTTATTTTCGTTGAGGATGAGTTTAACATTCTACTTCCGTCTTATATTGGATTATTATATACACGAATTAAATATTAAACTGAATATAACTAGGACCCTATGGGGTCCAACCCGATTCGTTCCAACATTTGCTCCCTTTTTCACAGATCCAGTCGAGCTCGAGCTAACCAGTTATGCTTATCATAGTAGTCAGTGTAATAATTACAATGCCTAGACAAAATTTGTACATATTTTTATGACAGAATAACATAAACAAACAAACTGACAGACTGACAACACCATAGATATCATAGAATGTCCTGTAATTTCACTACCCTCTATCCTATCCCACCCTTCTAACTGACGCCACGCGCCATGCATACACAGCTGTTTCAGATTCAGAAACCCGGGAAGGAATTCCTCGATAAAAGAAAACATCGACAAATTCCACCCCTAGAAAGGGTAACAACACTTCCTCTAAGAAAATAGACATTTCTAGATCCCACCGCAGTGCAATGTGAATTATGCAACAGATGATACTATCCTTTTTTTTATTGTAAATAAAACATATCATCTCTTTTCGTCGACACGAGACACTAAAGATTACCTGTTCATTACCTTAATCTTGTTGACGGGTCTGATTTGGACATAAAATATTTCATCTTAGGCATTAAAATATACCCCCATAAAATTTGAGGTTGGCAACTCGATAACTAGTGGACACAGAATGCTAGCAAAGAGCCCTTGTCATTACATAATTAACGGAATAGACAATATAAGTACGTTGCGCATTTAAGTCTTTGTCATCATCATATTATTTTACAGATATTATTTTTAAA